TTTGTTTGAAAACCACGAAGCATCAAGCCGTGGTTATAATTCGTCAATAAAGGAAGTTGAATTCATAGTTAGCTAATCGATTTTTAAGCGATACATGATAGTTAAAATTCCCTCAACAAAATTACAATTGATATTTGTTCAAAGAAACATTGTACGCTTCACATGAACAGCGACGATTCGAACAAATGTCCACTTGATTGAAACAGAGTATTGGCTTAAGCCGTGAATTACCTCGCCGCAATTCTATATTGTAGCTGCGCATAAAATTTATCCACTGGCACATGCACGTTTGCGCACTGCTCAAAGTAAACACGATTCCCAAAGAATCCACCTAGTTTCGTTGAAAGGCTTTTCTCATTGGCACTGATATTAAACTCATTTGATGTCACAGTGAATGATTTTTCACGCCTTTTATCCCTGTATAGGATGAAAACAAAGAGAAAATTTGCAGGCTGGAGCCTATTGATATATTTGCTTTTGCGATATATCATTTGATTGCCTTTAGACTAAAAGTCACATTTCCATCAAGACTAAAGATGCTATTTGTGTTAAGATCAAAGATCGTTTCGCACCCTAGAACCAACAAATTGCACTTCGCAAGAACGAAGGTTTTTTCTACTTTGTCTGTGATCAATGATTCGATTCCCAACACATGCGTTCCAACCGAGTAAAAACCGATTGCTTAGATACACTAGTAATTCCTACCTCAACTGTAAGTATACAATCGCGCGCTGCCCGTAAGGCTAACAAAAGATACATGAAATTAGCTTATGTTCAATATATATTTGAAATTGTATGATTTCTGGTTATGTATGGTTACGGAACATTTTCAAACCAATCTGGAGCTTGATAATACGATTGACCGTCCCATAACTTCCCCATTATCTTTTGTCCAACGGCTTTTTAAAGACAAAGTAACGAACTTATTCAGGTTTCCAACAGCGTAACGTACGTTAACCGTTTCTTGAGTTCTTGTTTGTAGGATGTCAACTCCTGCAGATAACAAAAGAATTTTTTCTCTGCTTGTAAACAAGTCGATAAGGGGCCGAAAACGACACCTTCTAACTTTGGGTAAAATCTCCCAAGGTCCGTAGAACGATCATCCAGGCTAAACCGATACAAAGATGAGTATTTTTTCTGATATGAACATTTCGCAAAGTTTCCAGCACGGGCCTGCCATGTTAGCGCTCGAAACCAGTGTTATGATCGCAAAAAACACGTTGCAGATTTCGATCAAAAGATCCGCCTCTTCTGGGTTTGCGAGGCGTGTTATTTGGTTCGCTAGCACGCCGACCGATTGACTGTTACGGAAAGCATGTTAGTCAGAGACGATAAGGCGTTTTAAACTAATGGTCAACACCTGGAGTTCACTCTTTTGGTTCATACAAAGCAAAACAAAGAAATTTGCTCATCCAGCTGTTGATTACAGGATGTTCGGAGCCAACGGTCATTAGCTGGAAATTAGCGAACGTTAGCGAAACCCCTCGTGAAAGAAAACAATCAATTTACAATGCACTGGCGCCCATACCTGGACGTTCTAGAATTTTCTGCGAGTCGCGGTGGTGCGCTAAGTCACTCTTACATTCGGATTCTCCGAGACGCGATCATGTCTTCCAATCGATTAACAATACTTGCTCGGGCACGTGGCGAGTGTCCGTATTAATTGTTCGCGCGTGCCGCGATCTATGATTGTATATCTAGTGGGCATAGAGCAATTAACTAGACGACAATGGACAATAGTCACTGACACACGCGCCCTGGGCAAACCACGCTACGAACAGAACAATGGGCACTATTGTCTTTGGAATTAGTAACTAAGACACGATCGCTATTCTGTTCTTACAGTCACCTTAGGAGTTGAGCTTCTTCTTAAACCTCGAGTCCCTGGATATGGTTGGTTTACTCAAACTATAATAGCTATTTGAAAACGAAGCATAGTAACAAATCCTAAGTTTAAAAACGTTGCCTGATCAACTAACGGCTCATTGCAGAGCAAATTGTCAAAGAGTGCATAAGTCAGTACAACTGTTTGTAAATATGCTTTCCTTGCAGACCTTAGCAGACGGTTTTGGAAGCAGGACTACGCCTAACAAAATGCCTCGTGGACCAGGTATATTTAACAGCTGAGATTATTATTCCTTTTTTAATTCTACAGCGTAGCTATGTAATTATCACTTCCTAGACGCCGTCTTTAATTATGTAATAGTCGAGATCAGAATTTCAAGTCTGTTCGCATGACAGTACCTATGCAGCCTAAGGCATGTAATTAGCACTTCAAATTATTAATTCGCGTTTCTTGGCTTCATCGTTTCTATGACTCGACAAGCCGAAAGACAAATCGCATACCCGAACGCACTGTCTCTTTCGCATACGATATCACGCGAACGAACAAATTTACCGCCCCTACTTTTCAGGATCCTTGCGCTGCATCGCATTGGCTGATTTATCTCTAAACAACGCAACACGAGATTTCCTTCGAAAATGTGAAAGACTGTTCACACACGTTATTTATTTATTTTTTTCGCATGGGTAGTCGTTTAAGGGCTGTCATATTCTAGAAAGTCAATAAAACTAAGTCGTAGCAGAGGCGAAAAGTTATTTTCACACAGCGGGAAAAATTTGACGGCGAATCTATAAAGTTCCTTAAAACTGGAAGGTGATATTATTATCAAATTAAAAAGTTATTGACGTAAATTTAAGTTGATTTTATTTTGGATGTTTTAGGACGAATTAATGTAAAACCAGAAAGAACCTAATATGATTTTTTAAAGAAAATGTTTAGCTAATTCTCTTTGGTTGTTTTTAAACTTTCACAACTTTAAACTTCTATACGTGTAGCGATATCCATGACAAGAGACTTGATAACGTCCCATTCGGTAAGAAGTTTTTTCAGTGAGCTAAAAGCATATAATGTTAATATTACAAGAAATTGTTTAAATAGAACTTAAAGATCAAAGACAACTTGCTGTGAATTTAGACGCTCTTCGAGGTTAAAATGTAAATTTCCAAGCCTTATGCAAAGACAAGCGCATGCCACCAATTAATGTGCGTTTTGTGATTGGCGGGAAGCGAAGCGAAACGAGTTAACAAAAGATATTATAAAATTGCTCGCATTTTGCTATTGTTATTTTTACAGAAAGGCATGTGGCTTGTCTGTGTGCCGAAATCAATGACCCTTACTGCCCTCACCGAGAACTTCGTTTAATTCAGTAAAATCCAATTCCTAAAATTCTTGACAAATATGTAGTGACTACTTCTATTTCAGCTTCTTTCAATAAGTTCATTTTATTTTCTTTAGCCCTTCTGGTAACAAAACTTTGATTGAGAAACTAAATTTACAAGAGTACAGGACAGTTATTTACCGAATTTCGAGTGCCTCTATTCTTCTTTTCTTAAGTTGTTCATATCCGGCGAGTTTCTCAGCGATCTTGGGAAAAACTCTCTTTTTCGTTCACCGCCATTGTGTCGAGAAGGTCGTAAAACAAAAACACGTCTTTTGTGTCTCGTTACAAGGCTACAAAATGTAACTCAACAAATTTCTAGAATGAAGGTAATGTGAACTGCGGAGATACAAATTTTAAATGAAGACAAGACCGTTGCAGTTGTATTTTATTTTCAATACAAGTACAGAAAATTGAGTGGTGCTAGCTGTTTTTATTTTGCTAATAAGTGAATGCAATAATTCTGAATAGTCGTGATCATCTTTCTGATCTTGTTCCGCATTAACTTAGATTCTTAGCTTGAACTACAAAACTAACAAAATTTGGTTCAACAAGTTTTTTCTGGGCCTAAAACGTATTTAAGGGAGATTTTTCGCGGACAAACCTTTTTGACCTAGTAATCGTGGATTTCTGCATGAATCCGATAGCTTTCATACTTTGCTTTGCTCCATGACATTTCGTCTAATTTCATTGCAATTTTACAACATTGCTTAGGATTATAGCCCAGCAAAATAAAAATACTCTCTATCCGACGGGTAGACATTTTAACCTTAGGGTCTTAAAACGGTCACCCACTAAAATAAAATATCAGATATGCGGGCACACCATTTTAATAAGATGCGCTTTTCTCTGTTTTGCGTGGTTATCAGTAAGTCCAGCATTAATTTTAAGAAACCATCGGAATTCTTACAAATGAGCTCCTTATTAATACTGACGGGCAGAGTCTGAGACAAATGTTTTTCACTTATTTTGTTGTGTTTGTGAAATTTTAAGAGCGAGGCCGCCCATTTAGTGAAATACCGGACAGTAATTTTCCTCTTCCACTATTTATGATATAAGCAGACATTTTTTAAATTTTTTGGGGCCCTGAATAAGAGCTAAAATAAAAACTTCAGAACACGTTTTGGAGTTCTGTTGACTATGCTCTGTAAAATTAAACCAAAATTTGGGAGAGAAGGTACATTTGAAGTAAGTATAGTCTTCCTGTAGCTTCCCGCGAAGAAGTGCCGTGGAACCTCGATATAATGAAGGGCCAAAAGACTGGCAAAATCTATTCGGTATAACGAGGTTTCGTTAAATCGAGGTTCTTTTCCATATATTTTACCACTACTGGGGCAAAAAATATCTTTCGTTATACCGAGAGGACTTCATTATATAAAGGCTTCACTGTATCTCTTAAATGGTCACCTGTGACAGCGATCTCGTAAAAATGACGGTTAATTCGATTTACATACACTATCCGCCTTACTATAATGTACAAAAGAACAATACCTCGACATTCTAAGCTGTTTGATATTTGGCACGTGAACAGAGAAACAAAAACATGAGTTTTTAAATGTTTTGTTACATCAGTAGCACATTTAAGAACGGTCTATGCACATTACGAGATGAGCAAGAATTAGCGCTTAGCTTGCTGCAAAATTCTTGAGTTTTGACAAGTTAATTTTTCTTCTGGCTAGTAACTACAGGTGTTTATATGCGGTTTATTTACAGTATATTACAATTCTATATTATTAATCGTGCATGCTGCCTTCACAAGACAAATGAGCTCTTTTTTTTATGTCAGGTCAGCAAAGCATGTACTCAGGGAACCATTATGTCTCTCACAGCAAGCTACAGTCGCCATTGACAATTCAGTGGTATGTATACAGTGCGGGTATCTATTACTATAACTCTTAACAACGATAAAGAGGGCATAACACCCATTTTTACCATATATTTGGACCGAAGGACAATGATAAATAATGGCCTTATCTCGCGTAGCCCTTTGAAGCCCAAAGCCAGCAGTCTTAAAACAAGTAATCAGTTTTTAGCTTGGGGCGAAATTCCGGCCTAGTGTCCATAATATGGAAGTGCTAAAAATGAAACCATTTTAGCATCATTTTCTCAAACAGCCATTGTTTGCCGGTATTTCTCGAACATGAATTTTATTCGGTAATTTTCTTTCAATTTAATTTTTGCACTTTTTGATGCTTTTGGAGCTTACAACTGCGCCGAACAAAAATCAATTTTTTAGCTCCACGCGCGAGGAGGTGCAACCCCAAAAACCTTTTCAAATGGCTACACGTGTTTAGAATTTTGCCTAATAATTTACTGTGAAATTGGACTTTAAAGAGGGAAATGGAAAATTGATAAGTTAAAACCCACTCAAAATGATGAGAAGAGATTAACCGCGTAGTTGTACACAAGGAAAAATTTTTCTTCCAGCATTTTTTTTTCTTCATCCAAGAGATCAAAAGACTGGTTCAATTGACATTCTTCTCTAAGTTATTTATGCTAAAAGATCTTGTTTATATTTCAGTGCAATAATAGCAAAGAAATTTGAACAAAACTTTACCATTGTTAAAGGCATTATTTTTTTCGCGTAAAATTTGTGTTGGCGTTTGACGTTAAAAGTCGTTGGTATTTCCTGTTTAACACTGTCCTAATTGAAGGGCCGTGGCATGTAAGCGGATAAGCCCTTTATCAGGGAACAAGTGAAAAACACTTTTTAGTGTATCAATATTAACACAAACATTTAAATACTGTAACCTGTTGCTATTGTACGCTCTGTTAATATACTTTTGTCACTTTTCTTTCAAAGAAAGGGCCGGGCGCGATGATAAAATCACTTTGTTTTAAACTTCACCAATAATCTGCAGGTTATTAGCTTCGCATGTATTCGCAGGAATGAAATGAAAATGAAACAGAACTGTATTCAAAATTTTTCCCCTCGTGCAAAATGTTCTGCTTGTTAAGTTATGTTTTTTGTTTAGTTTAATATGGTAATATATTTTCTGCAGTTTTGTGTTTAATTGACCGATGTCGTCGCTAGACGATAGAAACAGATACATTCAAACTGAAGCATCAGTTTTCTTCAATTGGGCGAAACATCATTTATTTCGGAAGAAAAACTCTATATCTTTGAAACATTAAGATCCCAATGGGTCGAGCGAGTGAGCATTTCTTGCTCTAAAACGAAGTTGAAAATTTGTTATTTGATTTGAATTCTGAACAAATTAATGCGACTGAAATGATTTAAAGCCCTAAGCTCGGAAACTGAAAGTAAAACGGACCATAGTAAAAACGATAACTTTGTTAAAATTTTCTCTGTAGGTTGAATGAAAATTATGAAGTATCCGAGGGAGTTAGCTTGCCTCGGAGCGCTTTATATTCGCACTACTTAGACTTTTGCGAAAAGAACAACTTATCTCCGGTGAATGCTGCTAGTTTTGGGAAGGTAAGTAAAAGAGAGAATTATGTGTTAATTTGAAGTTTGAATAAAAAGATCAGGTATGTTTACAAAGGCGTTAAATGTTCTTGGTATTTAATTCAAATTTACAACAGAATTCAAAGCTTCAGATCTTCAATAGCTCCGATTTAATCCGCACGTTTAAAACAACTCCTTAGAATAGGTCCAACATTGCATCACTTATCAGACATCATTCTGGTAATGAAATCTTCTGGGAGAAACAAAAAAATAATTATAGACGCCCGGTCGCACATTTCAGTTGATCGGATGCCTCGATAACACCTGCCCGTGGGTGGTTTCACACACGACTTCCTCAGAATAGGTATCATATTGCATACCCATAATGAGGACACAATGAACTCAAATTAGCAAACTGCGAATAAAGGGGGAACTATTCCTTTAAAACATATAAAAAGAAAACGGTCATAGAACCAACTAAAGTATCCCCGAGTCAAACCACTTATTCAATTTTCTTTCAGATTATTCGACATACTTTTCCGAATTTGAAAACTCGACGTCTTGGAACACGTGGTCAGTCAAAGTAAGTGCAACAAGTGACTACATTTTCCTGCTAGTTTTGTATTTTTTGTTTTTCATTTACTACTTTGAGAAAAAAACACAGTTCTTTTGTACCGGTGAGAATTCGCGTAAGAGACAATAAGCTGAAATCTAATTGTTTTACAATGCTGGGTTATTCTGTTAAAAAAGTCATCCTGGTGGTTGTTGTTGTTGTTGTGTCGGAATAGACGAACCGTTTGTACGTTCTCAAGGACATCTATCGTTGTGTTGTCTTCCATAATTATAGAAATGATCGGTCAGGTGTAAATTCCGAGCGTTTATCATCCAGCAACAGCCAGTTGGTTTGAATGTGTTACTCTCTTGAAAACAAGTTATATTTTTGGTTGGACTGTCTTTAGAAGCACATGGTTACACATTGTTGCGTATTGTGTCGATCTAAACGCGTTGTCAATATTCCAGTCAACTACTGAATTTCAACACTTAATGAAAAGCACATTGTTAAAAAACACAACGCCATCAATTTGAAATAAAGAATTTGTATAACGCTGCGAAGGGTTATCAAAATTGCAACAAAAACTTGTTGCACAAAAGGGCCCCCCACTTAAACTTCGTTGCCTGGTGTGGTCAATAAAGTATTATAAACAGACTAAATGTATTGTTTTAAGAAAGCTATGATAGGTTTAATATGAGAAGTTTGCAAAAGTTAAACGTTCAACAAAGTACTGCGGGTGATATGCTAAACAAAGACTTATAAATTAAAACTACTTTAACATCATGTTTGTGTTAAAATAACTCAGATATTGGTCACCTGAGTCCTTAAATGTTGAACAGTATCAATATAACGTTGGTATATTTTTACACGTGCGTTTTGCCTTTGAGAAGCATATAGTAAGTTGAAGACAAAAGGGCGTAAAAGAACGACACATATAAAATATTAACAGTTCAATAAAATACAAGATCTCCAAAGCAACGAACAGGTGTTACAAGTGAACACGGTAAACATGTTATCGAAATATTTCTGTTTTTGTAAGACATAGCAAACAGTCTGCCGTTTAGAAAAGAATGCAGTAACGAGAACGCAATTTAGCTAAAAACAGCGATTAAGGTAGTTAAACTGGCCACTAAGTTAAGTGAAATATGAGACAAACTACTTAAAACAATGAGGGAACATTTTTAAAAATAACCCCGTCAACAAATAAAATACAATAGATAGAAAACTCCGGGAGGTTGCGTTACGTATCACAAACAAGAAGGAATTATTTAATATATATACAGCATTCCCTTTCTTCCTTGTCTCCGACCTGATTATAACATTGTATGCTATCCATTAAAAGATAATATATATCCAGTCGAGAAACCAAATATCAAGTGCTCTCCTGTGTTTGTCTGAAATACCATGGAAAAAGAAAAACAAAGTAAATTCTGACTTTGCTCCCATTAGAAAATTTGATCTGTACAAACCATATAATAATTTCTTAATTGATCAAACTTGTCGGTTAAGACTGGCTAGGCTGGATATCTTGAACGGACAAGCTTCGTCAATAACTCATGATCACTATATGATTGTATCTAGGGAAACTGAGGCCATATTACAAAGGCATGTGATAAAATTCACCCAATTAATTCAAATGCAATGGTACTTCTATTCAGGGGACACCCTCGGGACCAAGGGAAGTGTCCCCTGAATAGAGGATGGCCTAGAGTTTTTTAATAATTAACCAACAAATAAAATATCTCTCTTTTATTCTGCCTCGAAATCTACTGCAGTCATTATTTCAAGCAGCTAGATAATGTATAACAAATCATGATTAACGTATCTCTGCGATATTGTGTGTTGAATTCCCACAAGTGCGGTACATCGATTTAAGTGAGCCAGTTCATGTTGTGAAAGCTGTCGTCATTGTGACTAGTGTTTAAACTTATCAATGCCTTCTGTATTCGGTCACTTTTTAAGTGCAAAGGTGTCCCCTGAATGGAGATTAAACCGGGGTTTCAGGACCCGGAAAAACTGTCCCTTTTACGCTGAATAGAGGTGTCCCTTAAATAGAGGTGAGAAATGCAAAGATTAGTGTGAAAATTTTTCCGGAGACCAAATTTTGTGCTCCCTGAATGATGGTGTCCTTTGAATAGAGGTGTCCCAAAGGAGTGGTTCTACTGTACTTGGAAAATGTTAAGGAGAACTTTATATTGATACTGAGACTTTTATTTCCAGGTACCACTACTACGGTATCACCATAAAGACAACTTCTCCCTACCACGATACAGTCTGTAACGCAGCCAGACAGAGCAACACTGGGTAAGAACGAATTAGTAACTCTCTTTTCTGGCTTCCATACATTTACTTGAACATCAGTTTAGAGAATTTGAGGTTATATCAAGATAACAGCCCAGCCTCTGGCTGATACATTCACCTATTCTCATCACCTGTATATTGGACAATGAATTAATATTGTATGGAGGAGTTACTTACCAATTTTTTGCAAATTTCTTAACCCCTTAAACCCCAAGATCCACATACCAATTCTCTAGACTGATCTCCATTCATTTCTTTTAAGAATAGTTGAGAGAATTTGGTTTAAGATCAAAGTATTATGCCTTTGGTGATCAATTTAGTCATTCTCATACCCTTTACTCTTGATGATCTGCTGATGTTGTTAGGAGAAAATTGCTGTCGATCACTCTTGGGCCCTAAAAGGTTAAGACGGGAAAATAGGGGAGGGGTACGTTTAAAAACAAGCGTTTAATTAACTAGCCTGTGTGTAAGGGGAAAGGGTAGCTGTACATAAGCTAATAAATAGAGGGAAATGAAGGTGTTACCTTTGCTCTGCAAATGGCTAGACCTACACGTGGCTTGCATGGCCAGGTAGAAATGGCTTTTCCGGCTCCAGCAGGAGAGGTAAAAAAAGTGTCCTTTAATGATTGGCTCTTCTGTAATAAATAAATTAGGGTTTTTTTGTCATGATAGTTGGATATTCATTGTGATCGCTTGGCTCTGTGTTATTAGTTTCAGTCAATCGTACAGCAAGAATGATGCGGATGAAAGGTCTCACGGACCCGTGCTCCATAAGGGAAGTCAAGGGAATGGTGCCTACGTCGCGACAGCCCCAGGAGGAACTTTGCTCCCGGACTTTCCTAAGCCCAGCAAATTGACCCTTCCTGAGAAAGTGCCACATGAAAAGGCAAGTAGCTTTTGGGCAAAAATTCGGAGCAATTTTATAAAAACAGAAATTCAGACAGGAATGACTAACACTATAAAGAATAATAAAGCGTATCATGAAGTATTTTCCTAAAGTGAAGTTTTACGACTTTAACAGCTGTATTAAACTCCCCAAGCTGAGAACGAGTCGACCAGTTTTTTAACAAGTAAAATAAATTTTCCACAGGTGAAGACGTTTCTGATCATGTACCGGGCTCATTGTCAGAGAATCTTGGACACTATTCTGAGGGCGAATTTTGGAGAGGTAAGTAGGATTGTTGAACGTTTTTCCCTCTTCCATGTATCAGTTCAAGCCTTCGAATACTAAGAATAAGCTTTCCTTAACATTTCATTTTGTCTCAGAATCTAAATTTAATTAAATTTCAAGTCTTTTTTTTCATTTTCAGGTTCAGAACTTTTTAGTCCATTTTTGGCAAGGAATGCCCAGTCACATGCTTGAAGTCCTAGGTTCTAATGAAGTGGTAGAGTTGATTGGTCAGTGCGATACCATCTTGTACAAGGCGATAAGCGGTGTTCTCATCCCAGGAACCCTTCAGCCTTTACCAGCAAGGTACTGATTTTTTGTGTGATAATTTACTATTAATATACTTTTCTGATCGAAGGATGGTATCCCGATACAGTTCTGGGCAGCTATTATTAAAAAAACCACAAGAAGGTAATAGGCAAAATTTCGGTGACAGGGAAACACTTGTGTCTAGGGGTAAAAGGACCAGGAGAGAAGCCCTCCTGGGGAAAACAAGATCGAGTGCTATGGGAGTAACCACCCTGGACAGAAGTCCTGACCAGTCTCCAGGTGTTGAAGCCTATATCCATGCACTGGGAACTAATGAAACCAGGAAAGAAGCCCTCCTGGGGGAGACAAGATCGAGTGGCAGGTGGGGGGGTGGGGGACCACCATAGCTTATAAAGAGATGTATCGAAACAAATGTTATTTGTATAATATTATTGTAATTACAGTTTGACTCAAGCAATCCGCCAGTTTGCGCAGCAGCTTGACGAATGGTTGACCGAGTCTTTGTCTCACTTGCCTGAACCATTACAGAAGAAGAAACTGACTGGTAAATAAAAAATAGTAATTATTTATCTTAACATACTTGTTTTTACTTGCCTCACCACAGGGTCTGGAAGGGGGGCCGGGGGTGGGGGGAGGTCCTGATCCCGCAGACCCGCTCTTTTTTCACGGGACTCCCGTATCCCGAACTTCTGTCATCGCTATCCCGAGTATCGTTTTCTTTCCCAATCCCATCAGCATCCCTTGCCAAATGTTGGCGAATACCGCTTTCCTGGTAGCACTTGACCTTCCTGTCAACCTTGACCTTCTTTTATCATTGTTTCTAAGAATTGCTTGCTTGTATTTTCAGTTGCCAAGAGCTTTTCTCACTCACTCCGAAGACAAACGTCTCTAACACATCTCGCACAGGTATGATGATAGCCTTACAAAGTGTAGGGCTCTTAGACTAACTCTTAGACCACGATAAAAGGTAATACAGTGCAAACTAAAAAACTTTCCCCAAAATAAACTATTTAGAAGCAAATCTAGACACCCACTGATTGTCTTGAACCACGCTCTACGTTTGACAGACCATTATATTAAATATCTAGAAATGTAATTTTCTTCGCTTCTTCGTGCTTTGCCAACATTTTTTTTTATCTAAATAGTAGAGATCGAAGCTAAGATGCAATGTGTCATTTTTTGAATACAAATTCAAAAACTCTGCTAGAGTACATTAAACTTTGAACTTCGTTAAATGTCGTTTTCAAAAACTTATAAATGATTAATATAGAAAAATTCAAAAGAAATTTAATTTCAATAGCTCCTCTACTTTTTAAACGGTTAATACTTTAGGTCGATTTCTCGGGAAATTATAAAAATCTCAAGGATTAAGCAAAATATAAATAGCTAGATCTAGAGGAAAGTCTCTGCAGCCGTTTGATAAACTCTTAGTTCTTGTTTTGTCAAGAAGGTGAAGCCAAGTGTTTTTAACTTGATAAAACACTCTTACTCGTTTTCTTAATCAACATATTACTGACCGAGTCTGGGAAGTAATACGGTTGAGTTAGAATAAATGAGTTAAATTGCATCTTGTTAAAGACATAGCGTAAGTTTACGACTGATTTGTTTGTTTGTTTTTGTTAACAGGCCGCGCGCACAGTACTGCACAGTGCAGAGCCGGTATCACAAATGTTGACTGACTGGAAACAGATTGACTTTGAAGGCATTTCCCGCCAGGCTTTGTGGACATTCAGCCAATCGATCGCCGAGGATTACGAACTGATTAACGAACGTAAGTATACGCCCCCATAACTGGTTTGCCGCTTTATTTTGGCTTGATTGTATCTCGGTGTTTTTAGAGTGTGCACATGTGTTTTGTACCATATTAGAAGGTTGGTAGTTACGCCGTAAGATAATAATTAATTTTTTTATAGTGCGTCGCATACCAGTTTCAAGGTTGAGGCGTTAAAAGGAATAATTAAATTAACAGTTATGTTTAATTTAATAAATCTTGTTTTCGATTCAAAACATTAGAATTTGATATAGACTTCGTAACACAGTTAACTTTGGAATTTCGAAAAGAATAATAACATAATATTAGGGGCTTTGGGCAGTTAGACTCTAGTTACAATGAAGGAACATTAACGATTTCATACTTTACAACTCTGTCAGCAAACGCAAAGTTTCAAACTGAAGTGTTCATCTACGTGAGATCTTGAATTGCTTCGTTTTGTAATTGTTTTCAGATTTCAAAGAGTTTACCCAGCTTCTGGAACAGCAAGCCACCATTGACCAGTACGCTGAATGGGCTGCTAATCTTGTCAACCGATGCATCGCAAAAGTAAGAAGGATTTTATTCTAAAGAATAGACTATGTTAAATGAGTTCCATTCTAGTTGTTTGGACCAGAACCCTACGCGGTAGATTCTCGATCCCCCTTGAAACTAGACTTGTAATGTAACGATCCTACCCGGGACATTTTGTTGTGTTAGTGTTATGGGGTACATGCACGTCCTTTTTGCTCTCGAGGAAAATTGTTGTCAGAGGTCTTTAAGATTTGGTCGCACGACAGAATAATTGTAAAGCGTCAACCTCATCCACTTGTCATATATAATCCACGCACTGTTTGGAATTTCCGTAAGTCCAAGTTTATCATTATCCACACTTGTTCCAAATCCAATTGCAGTAAAGGAATTTAAATTGATATTCAACTACAAAGGAAAATGAATAGAAAGAACATGAAATTTACTTTTAACAGAACAAAAATGTGAGGAGGATAAAGAAGGGACAAAAACCGACCTTCCTTTTAGTTTCCATTCCTTTTAAACGTTTACGAAAGACACGGTTCGTACAACTTCAGAAAGGCAAACAAATTTCAAGGACTTTTCAAGAACATTTTAAAGACAAATTACAGTTTTCAAGAGCTAAGATTTATTCAATAAATCAGCGTTCTTTAATCCCCTTTTGAACACCTTATTGGCTAAAACACGTCATGAAGTCATTTACGATTTTCAATTCTTCAGCCATGGTTGATCACATTATTTTCTACTACTTTCCGCAAAAACGGTTTGGAAAATGACTGGATATGAACTGCAATTGTATCTGAGGTACAGAAATAGCAAATAAAGAAACAGAAGTAAGATATTGCTCATGCATAAAAATTTTTTTTTTTACAAGGTACTTAATTTCAAGAATTTTTCAAGACCTAATAAAGAAATGAAGTACTTTTCAAGGACCTTAAGACCTTTTCAAGATTGTACGAACCATGCATGGACATAGCAAAATCTCGAAATGACCGTTTATTTTTACTGAACCCAATACAAGTCCAAGCCACTAGAACCACTACACTCTGAGTGCATTTTTCATCACTGACAATTCACTTTTTTTCTCATGTAGCAAGTGGAGAAGACAGGTAAAACTTACAAAGAATGCTCACGGGATTTCCTGCTCAAGTGGTCGTTCTTCAGCATTAAGATTGTTCGTGAGCTGACACTGCACAGTGCGCACAGTTTTGGTAAGTAATCCTTTTTTAAAATATATAATCTCACCTTTCAATCAAGTTACCGTACGTAAGCTACTTGTCAATAGAATAAAGAATGAGAGTTTCTAATGAAGCATTTAAACAATTCTTTTGATTGTCTCTTACTGCAATTCATTGGAGTGGCTTAAAAGGGGTACACACTTTCGATAAATAAGAGCTGAGACGCGGAAAAAAGAAAAAATTAAGAAATCCTCTTATGCTCGCACGAATGTTCCCGATCCGGATTCCGGCAAAAGTCACTTACTTACAGTTGTGATATGTTCGTGACTGAAATCCTGGATACTCTCGGCTTTCTTTTACTATCTTTTTCCACACTATAGTTCCGTCTGTCGCACGCGGCAGCTTTTTACCAATTCGCCAGAATTGAGCTTAGAAAGAAACTAGGGTCAAAACTATATTGGCCACCTTCAATTTACCAAATGCTTGCTCAGCCATTCGTTCTTGTCTATATTAATTAAATGGCTGTACTAATTAAATCAGAAAAGCCATTTAGTTTTAATAGTTTTCTACACCTTTCTTTGTGTTATTACAGGCTCGTTTCATCTACTGCACATGCTCCTTGAGGATTACATTCTGTACACCGTTGAGAACCACAACAACGCAGACGAACAGTCGGTCCAGTCCTCTGACGGTGAAAGTAAAGAGATGAACTTTATGGAAGGTTGGTGCTTTATTTTGACGAACAACTTAGCCCCAATTAAATAAACAATTCGTGGATTTTTATTTGCAACCCCTCCCCGCCTCACCCCGTCAAATAAAAAAACCCACCTCTACAGCACAGCAAACGACACCGACGGAAAAAAAGTTCAGTATATTTTTATCCGATTGGTCACACCTTTGAAGTTAAACCACTGGCTATCAAGGCTATCAGGGGTCTTTATGTGACTCGCCTTTTATAACATAAAAAAACACCGTGATTAGGAGGCTGTGATCAGTGGCGTTGATTTGTTTCGTCCCAGTTATAGAAACACTGTTTAACACAGCTATATATTTTTTTTTATCTCAAAACTAGTCAAGGAAGACATGGAGATTGACGTGGTAGGACCAAGGCCTACTCATGTAAATGTTCGTAAGTCTACATCCAGGAGACACTCCAGCTCTTCTTCAATGGGATCTCTAAGAAGCCCTCGTGATCCGACCCCTCAAAGAAGCCCCGCACAGGTGGCTATGATGCGACCCTCGTATCACGATTTGTCCCCACATCCCATGACCCCGATGACGCCAACCACACCCACAAATAATAACAACAACAACAATATGAGTAAATACTCTATGCTATCATCCGAGCAAGGGCACTTCTTGTACCCTCCCCCAGGGGATTATGGAGCGCGATTTGGCTACTCCACCTCTCAGGGTAGCCTAATGTCTTCTATGGGCCATGGAAACAGCTATGCTGCGGCGGGTGCCAGTGAGACTGGAATTAACTTGGGAGATTTTGACATGACAAGCAGCTACGCGACAGAAGGATCCGGGTACTCTGCCGTGCGTTCCAAAACCAGTATTCCGGACTCAAGCTACACGATGATGACTCCCGCAGCCAACATGACGGCTTACGACTACAGAGGGATCTCGCCAATGGATCAGTTGAAGCAGTATTCTCAGTACCCTTTAACAGATCGAAGCTACCCTTCCTCTTACATGTTTTCTCCAGGCGCCATGTCGTCAAATGCTATGTATCCCCTGTCTGGGGTCAGCGGAGGCTCCAATGAGAGATATTACCCAGATGTACTGGAAGAATTCGTGGATATGCAAGCCGCAATGCACCATGGGATTCCAACACGGCCCGTGAGATCAGATTATAGTTACACACCCGCAATCTTGAGTAATTAGAAACTTACTAAAGTGGGGTGAAAAAAACCCTGAAAAATGTCAAGTCCTTGTAAAGATTATAATTATAGATGTTCCGAGTGTAGAAAATAGTCTATTTATTATCTTTAATCTGAATTGGCGTCCATTTTTTTGCGACTAGATGCATTGAAAATATAGTATTTAGAGTCACGTTAAAATCGGCAGTCGAAGTATATTTTCCGACTTAAAAACTTGCATACTGTCGCTCTCAGGTTAATGTTATCATTGAAATACTGTAGATAGAATTAAAATGGGTAAAGTAGCGATAAATTTTGGCATATAATTTAAATTATTTGGGATAATAAATTAAATAATGCTAAATGTAAAAAGATTTTATACATGATAAGAATATGCTTTATTAAAATGCGCTCGGAAAGAATCAGCCGGTTTGTCTATTAACATTGTAAGAATTTTAAGTCAAAGCGCTTAGTCTCCAAGAGTAATTATATTTAAATTTGGTATGGGCCATCTCGAGATTTCGCGAGAGATTGGGTCGTTACCGTGTCGAATTGCACAATAGAACCCTTTTGGGGACGCTACCGCTTCTTTTATTGGTTATTACGAAGTTGCAAGGGTAGCTGGGTCAAAATTCGTCGATCAAAACAGTCCCATAATGCAATTCGCCGCAACACGGCCCCAGATTACCCGCAGCTTTAATCGATATCTCGATTGAGTACAGTGCATTTGTATCGGAGACTTGTTGTTGAAGCCTGCTCATCACTTTCCCGCGCTTATTGCAGTTACGAGCTTCCTCGCGCTTGCTGTAATATTCCTTTGTTACAGGAACGCAGTTCATTGTACTTTTTACTCGGATTGGTATTTTATGAATGCTTCAAGTTGTAAAAAAAAAATCATATCTAACGGGATTATTCAGTATTGTAAATTAACGAGAAAAACGCAAAACTCTTTGTTATGGCACTTATTAAAATAGAAATTCTTACCTGTCGCGAAGTCTTGTACACGAAGTCTTGCATGCGTAATCAGTTCTTGTTTTGCAAAAAAGATGCTTTCCAAAATACGGATTTTTCTCGCCTTAAAATGTCAGCCTAAGGGGAAAAAAATTAACGCAGCATATTTGTAAAGATTTTCCAAGTTTCAGCCGACGAGGGAATGGATAAATAAAGTAAAATTGTCGGGTTTTCAACTCAAAAACTTTTTCAAGTTCGTGCTTGCGTGATTAGCGCGAAAAGCAAAACAACTTGACATCAAAACCATGTTTACATACTCTCATGCAATCACGCCTCTCGGCCAATAAGAACGCGCGTACTATCTTAGTTATTTTATAGGTAAGGTTACTTTTAGTGTAATTGCGCAGAGATAGAAGGGATTATATCTACATTATACAAGGATAATCTACAGTAATTTGTTAAAATGGTATAAACTTATTGAAAAATGTGTAACAAAAGTGTGCATAAATAAAAGCATAAAAGTCAATAAAATTGCAACAAAAAATGTACTGGCTAGCGTCATTCATTTTTTGCTTAGAATTGAAAAAAGGGAAGTACAGTTGAACCTCAACACAATGGTAAAAAAAAGTGGTCGTTTTGGAAAGGTGGGCGTCAGAGGAGTTGGTTTGAAAAGTTTGGACCTAGTCTGGACTGTGTTAAGAAAAGCGGAAATTGAACTTCAAATTGAACATATTCTTTGTTTCTTGGGAGGTTTGTTTTTTGGTTTGAAAAGTTTGGACACTTAGTCTAGACTGTGTTGAGAAAAGCGGAAATTGAACTTCAAATTGAACATACTCTTTGTTTCTTGGGAGGTTTGTTTTTTGGTTTGAAAAGTTAAGACTTAGTCTGGACTGTGTTGAGAAAAGCGGAAATTGAACTTCAAATTGAACATACTTTTCGTTTCTTCGGTGGTTTGTTTTTTGGTTTGAAAAGTTTGGACTTAGTCTGGACTGTGTTGAGAAAAGCTGAAATTGAACTTCAAATTGAACATAATGTTCGTTTTTTTTTCATCTTTTTAAAAATTTCCGTAGGTTTTTGGTAACTGTGGTATTTGGGTCTTCCCCTACTGGTGCTCAGTCTCTTTTCCGCTAAGGCCTCTTCTTATCGCAGGGAGGTTGAAGTGAGGGAAAATAGAAAGAACTCTCTTCCAATTGTCCACCGCGCGCTTACTATTTTTAATTATTTCTATTTTTTGGAATACCCAGTAGGAACCTCTGCGGGAAGCTGATCAGGACCTCTGTCCCACACATCAGGGTGGCTACCTTCGGTACCATCCGATCTAATCTCACTCTAGGAGGGCCCCCCTTTTATCCCTTTACCCCTAAACTAGTATGGTTCCTTTTCCATCGCTTTTTAGTCTCGCTTGCGTAAGTAGCGAGACTCTTAATCTACATGCCGTTTTTCTGCGTATCTAGGACACAAAGAGGAGTCATGGTCCCAGGCGTTCCTAGCGGAGACCGTGGAAACTGGGAATAAGAATTGTTTTGCGAAGAAAGCTTAGAAAAGATTAAATTTAGAGCTTTTCAAGAACAGTTCGGTCCACGAATTCTATCGCTTGAAAGCGTCGATTACCTTGGAACAAATGAACACTACAGTGGTCGAAAAACCAGAAGAATCTTAATTAGCAAAACCGCGATGGTCGGGTGTTGTAAACTTTCATTGTATGCAATGAAATTGCTGCCAAGAACTGGCACTTCTTGTTCGATGATTTAAGAGGCAAAGAAACAAAGGTAAGAAAGTGAGAGAAGTAATAAAGTAATAAAAGTGACAAAGTTTCAAAGGGTAATTTAGATGAAGCTCATCGATGAAATATCGAGTCACCGAAGAAAGAATGGAGTACTTAGTAAACTTGAACCACAGGCTGGTGAGCTCAGTTAGTTGGTTACCTGAGAGTAGTGGAACGGTACGGCGCGGTTCGATCCCAGCCAGACTAACACTCATGATCTTTAAACAAGTGAGGAGAAAGTGCTGCCTTTGATTTGATATTTGTAAATGGTTAGACCCTCTAGTCTTCTTGGATAAAAACATGAAACAGTAGCAGCGTCTCAGAACACTTCTCTGATCTGACCCTTGAGGGTGTGTGTGTGTGTGTTGGGGGGGGGGGGGGGGGGGAAAAAGGAATACAGGGGGAAAAAAAAGGTTTTTAGTGCCCCCCCCACAATTTTTTAAATTTTTTTCAATTCCCCCCGGGGGGCTTTTCAAACCCTTTCTTTTTTAAAATTTAAAAATCCCCAAACAAGCGGTCGGAACCTTCAACAACCGATTCACTTATTGTATTAACACTCCCACGCACAAAACTACAACTTAATGTGAGTAAAATGGGGAGGGTTGTATTTTTTTTTTTTTTTTATTTTGATGATGTGCTTGCGTTGTTTTTTATAAAAAACAAAAAAAAGGAGCCGGGGGAGCGGAACATCCCTCTCTGCTGTGGGGGGGGGGGGGGGGGTGGGGGGGGGGGGGGGGGGGGGGGGGGGGGGGCGGTAAAAGGATCACTAGGGAGATAACAAGTGTTTGATAGCCGCCACTACAGATTCTTAAATCATTTTACATTCGCACCAGGGAGCTTTCATAATCCATTACTTTCTAAAATTGTAAACTGCACAAAAAGCGGTCTGGCACATTGACAGACCGTATCGTATCATCGTATCATCAGATAACATTGTATGGCCAGATATTTTCATTTACATTCTACAACTTAAGAGCGTATCATCCCTGTCAGAACGAAAATCACCTTTGATGCGTCCTTCACAAAAGACCTTAACTGCAACTGATTTAAGTGCCGTTACATTACATGACCTAATTACCCGTAGACATATTACCCTTGCCGATGATTTGCCAAAGGGATTACGTAGTCCAGCAATCTCGACCCCAGTGCTTACCCTGGCCGTCATGCGCAAAAGAGCTCCGGGGTCGAGATTGGTCAAGGTGCCTAATTAATTAATGACGCCAAACATGCGCAGTGTTCTACGATAATATGGCCTTTAAATAAGGACATTTAATTGATGTTAATTAAACCTCAATTCTGTACGTTCTGTTATTAACATCTCTATGCATGTTTAAGGTAACGAGTTTAAGGTGGCAAACAGCTGAAAATTCCTGCTTTTCAATTAAATTGCCATTCTACCACTTTTGAAGTTGTTTCTAATAAAGGCGAGTTTTATACCTATGAGTTGAAAACGACAGTGTTAATTCGATTAGTACATCACTGATCACAAGACAAGAAAGCAGGATTAAAACATTAAAAAATATTTCCGAAAAGTCGGCATTGTTAAGAAAGGCCACGACTAAATGTTGCATCATATTGGTAGCGGTCATTTCATCAATCTAAACAGTCTAAATCAGAATCAGAATATTTCCAAAAAGTAGGCATTGTCAAGTAAGGCCACGACTAAATGTCGCATCATATTGGCAGCGGCTCGTTTCATCAATCTAAACAGTCTAAATCCGAATTTTCCGATCGAAAATTGCAGCTTGGGCTATCTGTGTCCAAGTAGGCAGTTCCTTTCGACAACAGCCTTCCATTTAGTCAGCCGAGTTTCAGATGAGCGCTTAAAAAAAGGCAGTTGGCGCTACTTCTTGGGTAGGCATCCGATTGGCGAACGAGAAAGCCAAGTCACTAAACATGTCAGAACCTAGCACGGTTATTGTTCGGTATTTTCTCAATTGCATCTTCATACCACTTCATTCTTGGTACTCTAACAATTCTTTGGTAAACTTTTATCCATAAGGATGACTGTAAAAAAAGGATCGTACCTGTGATAGCATTCAATCATGGGCATATCTATTAGTTACCGGGCTTGACTCTGTGCACAGCCAGTTTTTTGCGAAGAGTTAAATTCAATCGAGCGGGATTAAAACTGCACAAAGGCGTTATAAAAAATAACGTTGTACAGGAAGCGTAACGCCGACACATATGCATCAGTTTGAAAGTTTCCAAAGGCGAAAAAAATCACTCGAGCAATCATTTCCGGTCGACGACCATTTTTTGAATCACTTCAAATACTCTTAATTTTGCTTTTTAGTGCAAACATTACAAAGTTTTCATGCACTAATTGGTTCACCATTTACAGTAACCAGTCTGTTGCCTTAAGGTTTTTCATCCATGCTTGACAGACGTACATGAATAAATGTATCCAGGTGCTTCAAGGTGAATCATTCTTCCTCTAAACCTCACAGAATTGTGTGAACATCTTTTTTTCTTTCATAGCTTCTCTTGTGAAAGGCTGATTTAAGTATCAAAACATTCAAAACTTTCCTGTCAAGAACAGTACACCAGTTATCTTCTCTTCCAAACGAAATCAAAAGATCTTGAAGCAGGTCTAACGTTGTCTCCACGCCGCTCGCGTGAAAGATGCGACATGGAACACTCTAGGTCAGCTAGTCTGTCAGAAAACTCTTCCCTCTGCTTTTTCAATTCTGTTAAAAGGGTCTCCTTTTCTCTCTCGAGGGTGGCAATTTTCTCTTCCATCTTAGCAAAAGATCGGCTTTTTACTCTCGGTTCAGAGTCAGCGCAGTCTGTCTCAGTTCTGTTGTGCTTATTTGACAAAAGCACGCTCGTGCGTCTCTTGTCATTCTCGAGCCTTTGCTTAGCAATGCTCTCAATCTTTGTTTTGATCTCAGGATACTCGTCGAGCACTTCCATGAGATCATTCTTCGACAAGCAAAAAAGCTCTGAGTAACCTACGGAGCGGACCGAAGCGGTCCGACGATTTCCAGCGGCGCTCATGCACAAAACACTTATCTCTCCAAAGTAACTACCGGCCTCTAACACAGCATAGATTTTGGTGCCTGTTTCTGACACCACCTCCAACTTGCCCCTGTTCACGATGTACATCTCTCTGCCTACTTCGCCCTTCCTGCAGACGTAGTCACCTGTAAAAAAAAAATGCTATAGTTAACATATCGAACAAGTGAGGTAGTGTTTTATCTGACTGACAGAGACTGCTCACAGCAAAAAGGTAGGTTAAGAAAAACGAAACACAGCTTAACTTCTGATTTTCTTGAATAAATCCACTCACAAAACATTATGGTCAGCCTCCCTTGTTTGTTCCAGGTTATAATTACTATTCAATTTTGAGCAAGGTAGTATACACAATTAAAAACGGATACTGTCTTCAGAACGGGTTGCACTGAGACTAAATAGCACGGGCTCGTATTCACGGGGGACACGGCGAGGCTCCGCCTGAAAGGGATATCTCTTTTTAGGCTTTTCGTATATTTTGTGGTTCAACTTTATCCTTGGTTTAAATTTCATTTTCGTTTGTTTCAAACTCGTTATCATGTCATTATCATGCATTAACATACCCAAAAACATATGAAAACAAAATTTTAACCAAGGATAAAACAACATATAAAAGAGGGCAGTGATTTCGTGAGCTGAAGTATATGAAATGTTACGAACATTTGTGAATGACCGTCCCATTGCAGTCTTGCACGCTCACGTTCATTACAGCCAATGGCAGTTTACTTGCTGCATCATCATGACAAAACATCATACTCGTTGCTATTTATAAAGGTACTCAAACTTTCATCAATTTTTATTGATGCTTAGCCGAAAAATATTATAAGCAAGATTTCAAGAGATTGCCCAAGATTACCAAATACTTGCTACTATCTCAGTATTTAAGTGAAGCACTTCTCTTAAATTTTTCACGAGAAATTTTTTCATTTACCTGGTGAAAATAGTTGAGGACGAAGACGCAAGACCAGCTCGCTAAGAAACCCCGCCTCACAGTCCTGAAAGATAGCAACCTTCCTTAATGAATCTAAGTGCACGTGGATTGCCAACTCAGCTCGGAGTTTGTCTGGCAAAGAGTGCAGGAGCTCCTCTTCATCGGGATGTTTCTTGTTCATCCACAAATAATCGAACCACTTAATCACCCGCTGTTGTAGATGTTGAGGGATTTTGTGGAAACGCATGTAAGCTTTAATACCGTCCATCTTGTTTTGGAAGTCTACTTTACCGGCATTTTGATTGGTGATAATACTACCCACATTTCCTACAATAGTGGCAAAAAGAAGTACACCTGCAAAGAAGGGATGAAGTGGAACTCCGTCAATACGACTACTGTTGGTACCTCTCGACCACTGTTGGGTCAAGAAAATCTGCCACACTGTTGGGCCACGAAAATCTGAATTTTTGTTTGGTCAAGAAAATTTGGACCACTGTTGGGCCAAGAAAATCTGGATTACTGTTTGGCCGAGACAATCTGGACCACTATCGCAGCATGGTAATCTGGGCTACAGTTGGGCCATGAAAAATCTGGACCACTGTTGGGCAAAGATAATATAGAGTAAGGCCAAGAAATCTGGACGACTGTTGGGCCAAGATAATCTGGACCAATATTGCACCATGGTAATGACAAGCATAATTGAATTCTGATTATCCATCTGCCTAAATCACATATGTCGCTCGAAAGTTCAATTGCACTGCACTTTTGACGGCTTTCAGAACCCTTCCAAAATCCGTACATTTCTGGACAAAACTGACGGAAGAGTATTATCTTGCATATTTTTGTGCGGAGAGAATTTTAAAGTTTGGTGGCAAATCCGTTGATAATGAACACAGAGAATAATACCTCTCAGGTAGAAAAAGCTGCGTGATTGGTTTATAGCTTGTGTTCTTTCGCATCCAATAAATAGTACCCAGCACAGTCCGCCCAGCTTCAGAAACGGACGCTTCGCACTTTGACCTTACCTTATCCTTGGTAGCAGATTTCCTTACCAAATTATTAGAAAGGCCCCTTCATACTCCATGAGCAAAATAATATTTACAACTTACCTATCAGATAATCAAGCGTAACAATAATAAACTCCACGTTAGTGTGGGGTGGCGGCACTTCTCCAATTGTCGTCAACGTCAGAGTTGACCAATAAAAAGAGTATATGTATTTTCTTGTGAGTGACAGGTGTCTTTCAGTTAGGGTTCCGTTGATTCCTGGGTAAACCCATGTGTCCGTGCCAAACCCAATTTCCCGCGACACGATGAAGTAAATACACGCATTCCAGTGAATTAAAACAAGAATAAACTGCATTAAGGAAGCCAGTCTGAACAGATTCGGATAGCTGGTTCTGCTCTCTGTGCGATCAAGAAATCGCCAGAAACGATGATATTTTATCAGACGGTTCATGCGTATCGCGGGCTCGTGCTTTATGAAAATATACGCAATATCCAAAGGCACAATTGACGCGGCGTCTAAATAAAAGGCTGACGTGTGCAAGTAGTGCCGGCGCATTTTTTGAATGTCTCTTTGCATGATTCCGTCCTCCATGTATCCTGTTCTTGAGCTCACAAACACATCCGCGATATAGATCACATCGCAAAAATAGTCAATTACAATCCAGATAATCGCGTGTCGTTCCTGGATTTCAGGGAATGAGGTTCTTAATATAAGCGCCCATGAATTATACACAACAGCTATGGAGACTATTAGCAACCAGTAATAGAGCTTGTCACCTGCAAACAGAATATTAAGATAAGCCATAAATATCACAATTTATTCCACGCTATAACAAAACACAGAGATAGAAAGCTGTAAAATATTCTGCAGTATCTTACGGATTGTATTCAACGGCAGTTTTTTGGGATGCCCATTGAACGGACGGGAGAGTCAGGACTAAAAGGGTACACTACGCAAAATATGGCTCTCTTCATGTTGTTTTAGGGAAAGGTATATTTATTTTGAATATTCATGATGAGTGGCAAGGGATTTTTTAGTTAAACAATGCTTTCTCGTGTTTTTTCGTGAACAGAATTACACGAAAGCTGAACCCACAATTGACCTGCTCCCAACGTCAGTGGCTCCATAGCTCAGTTGGTAGAGCATCGCACCGGTAATCGCGAGGTCACGGGTTCAAACCCCGTTGAAGTCCTGAATTTTTTTCAGCCTTCTTTACGTAATTGCATAAATTGCGTTCCCTGCGACGATCATTTCTTCATTTTCATTTCATATCCGCAGTTCATATGTGATTTATTTCACATATCATTAACACTCACTATAACGCGAGTTGTATATTTCGCCTTAGAGGATGAGGTATTGATATGCATGAGGAGGAACGACATTGTGACTGATTTCTGAAGATGTTGAGTTCATGTCACTGTCTCTACTGGTTCCGGTTTCGAAATTAAAAAAACGTGTAAACAGCCGACTTTATCGCTTCTTTAGGGACCTTAAGATATGAGGACGGGACAAGCCACGACGGCTACCGGAAGTAAATTTACACAATGAGGCCTGCGCACAAAAACTCCAAATTCGTGTTCTTGCCGTCCTGGTCTCGTCGAGGACGCCATTTAGCCTGTTTTGCCGTCATCTCGAAAACGTTAGTATTCTCGGCTTGTTTTTATCTACAATAAGACACAATCGATTCGCTTTTCAGATATGCTGACCCTGGTGTTTGATATTTAAAGACCATATTCTTCGCGATTTTTGTCGGAAATATTTCGAAATGAGGAAAAAAAGGCCATAATTTATGTCCATTGTTTGCTGTGTTTTGCAGTCGCGACCATGAATGTTCCTGAGTGCCCAGTGAAGAAAAGTGAATCAGTGTAAGTGAAGTTAAAAGAGATCCAGCTACAGTGGAGTGATAATCCGTAAAGTTTAGCGAAGGTTACTTTGACTTGTACCTCCTGACAGTCGGCCGGTGTTTACCTTTTGAAAAGCAATTTCATTTCAGTTGAAAAGCAATTTCATTTTTAACTACAGATTCCGCTTGAGTGTAGATTCTAATTGTTTTTAGGAAGCCAATGGTGCGGAGTTCTCTTCACGACGAAATAATACGCCGGTAAATCATGTTTTCTGATCCCTTCACTGAAACAAAAAAGAGCACAGTTGCGAGAGGAAAGAAATGGGAAGAGGTCGCTGAAAACTTGAACCAAATTGTGAGAGAACTGAGAATCAAATTGAAAAAAGAAAAAAAAAGCAAGTGGAATTGAAACCGACATAAGCAGCATTGAAGTGGCACCAGAGCAGTTAACTGTGTTGTTTCCGTATTCTTGTATTGCAAATAATGATAAAAAATAAATTCATATGGCAATTCCGGGTTCTTGGAGATTTCATCGTGTAGAAGAATAAATTCATCGTCGTCTATCACTCCGTCTAAGTAGCTCTCCAGAAGAAGGGTCCTAGCGTCTTTAAAGGTCGACACTATTTGTTCGTGAAATGTGAATATCGCCATTGCCTTCCCAAGTGAAAATTGCTTGCTCCTAAGTATTTTCTCTTTGGCGGACACGACGAGGCTCGACCTAGTCTTACTCGTCCAGCCCCGTTGCAGTCCTAGCCCCCCGTTCGCGTATCTTAAGGTCCCTTTCACTGCTATTAGAGAACGGATATTTCAATACTAACAAGTTGTTGAGAGGGCACATAGATTTCTGAACAGTTTTGTTAAAACTTGAAGGCAGAATAGAAGATCTTAATGGACCTTAAAAGCCAGTCTAAAAAACCAAAAATCGCTGTTAACTTGGATCTACCTTTAACTGAAGTTTGGGAGCTAATGGTAAGGTTTAGGACCAGGTTTTGGCTTCTTCTCGCCACCTGCGTTTGAATTGCAGTGGTTATGCTTGATAGTTTTTTGAGTAGAGGAAAAGTGAAAATTACAGACTGGCTAATGAGGCTCTAAGTCTGCAATGCGGCAAGACACTTCCTCGAACGTATAGGCTTGTGAGCAGTATTAGTCTTATTGCCAGTTTTCGCCTACGACAAAAAGGCCATTTTTCAAAAACTCGAGATAACTTTTCGTTCAAAGCCTTCAGACACCTTTTGCCTGGAAGAGGACTACTGTTCATTGACCCTGGGGACCCTCAGAGCCATTCTACGCTTTCTTAAACCGACTTCACGAATTCAAATAGACAGTGAGTGTATCTCTGAGAATTAAAAACAACTGGTCAAATCATAAATTCAGAAGGAGCCTTGTATAGCTGTAGTTATAAACAAACGGCCATTGTTAACCCTTGGGTTTGAACCATTTTGCACTGTTCGTTAAGTTACTTAAAAATTGACAAGAACATCACTTCGAATCGTAGAAACAGCGTTTTCCAAGATCTAAAAGGTAAAAAACAACATGCCGATGAATTTTTCAAAGATCTCGTTCGGTACGGGTGAAATTGGAATGACATTTGAACACATCAAGAAAGACGGAGGACGAATTTGTCCAAGTACATCTTAATATGTCAAGCTAAAGAAGCGTTTTTATCCCGACAGTCGTCACATTGTAGGCGTGACAGTGGCAGCGTTATCTGCTAATGAAAGCGACTGGAAGAAAAACCCTTAAGAAGAAGAAGTGGCGTCAAATCATAATAAAGGTCTGTCGAAGGAAAAGTATATTTCTTTAATCAGTTTAAGGTGTATTATCCAGTAATTCATTCACGCGAATTTTAAAGCTGTGTAAGAAACATATGTCTATTCTCGCAGCATGATTTATGACATAGACAACGTTCGGTCGTTCAGTTTATGGCAGAAATGTAACATCCTATTTCCCTAACACCATTACTGATCATAACTGAGTGGCTTAAATTCATTTGAACACTAGGCGTTAAATGCCTTTTTGTGTCGAGGCAAAAAGAGAAAAAAACTGAAATTTGCAACGCAAATTTCATGACCCAAGCTTTGACTAATTTTAGTGACATTGAAAATGCGGTCGCAATTTCATTTGGTGGTGTAAAAACTACCCCTTTTACGCTAATAAAAAAACTGATATATTGTGGGAAAGATATTTTTACATCAGTTAAATTAAAAGCTCGGTCTTCATCACCTTGTCTCATTTCCGTCCTCAACTAGTAATTAATATCATTTCGAATACACAGCGAATATTTTATCAAGATTTAGGAGAGATAAACTAAATAACTGCTGCCGCGAAGAACGTCATGAAACCTCTTGGTCAGTAATTCAGTCAGTGTATGCTTTTCCCATTTTTGAAAAAAATGAAGTAAAAAGTATATATAAATTTCAGATAAAATCGATATGAATCGGAAGCAGCAAGACCGAAGAGCGGTGTTTTTATTGTCAAAATGAGCCATCTTAACTACTTGTGCAAAAGATTCTGTAATTGTGACATACACATCGCAGTATAGTTCTTCGTGAAGCATTTTTTGAAGATGTTTTTTTATATTATTCCCGGAAATTTGGCCGCGCTTAAAACGTTATTCAGTTTCACTCTCGAGCAATTTTTAATAATCAGGCAAGTATTGTAAGGAGCTACACTGATTTTGCCGTAAAATTAGATTACCGGCGACGCTAACCCAAGAACAAGACGAAAAGCTTTATTTTTTTCTTGGATATTTATTGAACCCCACGCGAGATGTCGGAATCTTTAAGATGGCTTTCAGCTTTTACCTCGGCTTTTACTTCTCAGTAGCCTTTAAAGTACAATTTTCGAGGAATGAATGAAAGTAATAATAAAACATGATTATTTTAAATTACTCACCTCCTGGGTCAAAAAATCTTAGCCGTCCCACTTTTGTCTCACCGTCGGCAAGAAGTCCAACTGACGGTATCCTGACACGACTTAAAAAAGCCTTTTCTGCTTCACTATATCTTCTTCCTCCCTTATAGAAGTAACGCAGAAGACGTTTATGGCGAATGTCCGCTTCTTCATCTTCGCTAAAGGTGTCCGTGTTAGCAGAGAAACGAACTTTTGACGTTCGGCTCGTACCTTCGTTCATTTTCGTCTCGAGGACAGGCGAAGTTTTTAGCTGAGTATCGTGCGAGTCTGAAAGAACAAATAGTAAATTAATCGCTAGAGTTGTCGTTATTTGGGAGCGTTAGTTCTTAAGCATCTTTGGCACCTAAACGAGGTATACTTACCTGCATATGTTAACTTCTAGGGCGTCGTCGAAGGAGAATTTTTGCGGAAAATTTAAAGTGGCTAAAATCGAGCGTGAAGCTGTTTACAAGACAGGGAAATGCTGCCGGCGGAGACGAACAAATGACGGCGGAAGGCCTCTAAATAAAGGACAACCTTCAAAAACAACCTTTGGAAACTAACGACGTTGGAAACGGAACTCTGACAGTTGAATACTTAAAATGGGTCTCCTGTCTCTATTCACCATGAAATTCCTTTTTTGTTTAAGTGTATAATGAAAGGAAAACCTGGCATATTTGCCTGAATCGACAACAATAGAGCACTTAAGGCTGCCAATAATTAAAGATCGCTAAGTCTGCTTTTCTGTCCATTTAAACGGATTGCGAGCGAAAGAAATTAAAATCGTTCATGTCAGGCGCGCGCTCTGCTGCGCAGAAAAAATACACGCATCTCAAGAAACGTTTACCTCGGTCTTTCTAGAAGCCATCTCTTGATAAAAGTATCGAAGGTAAGACAACGTTTTTATCTCCTTCTAGATGATACACAGTGGCTGTCATTATAGCAGGCAATATTTTGATGACATTTATACAGCATGCAGACACGATAAAACGTCTAAATGTTTGGATTACTTCTAAAGAAAGCTCCGAATTCAAGAAAAAAAATTGAATCCGAGTCATAAACTGTTCCTGAACAACTTGCTGAGAAATTTTCATAAGATCATTATAAAAAGAAGTTACGGAATCGCACAGCTAAAATCGAACAAACAAACAAGAAACACAAAAAAGAAGGCCACTGAAAGATATTATAAAAGGCTCCTTTCCATTTAAGCCTGAAAGAATGGAAAATAGCTTAAATAATAGACATTGGGTGACTAAATAAATGCAGAAAATCGGTAAATGGGCTATAAACAATTTTGCGCATGCTCAAATTGCTAACAGCTGCTGAGGCCAATCAGTACGTTTCGTTCGCAAGTTCATTCCTAGCTTAGCGATGATATCAAGAGAAACTTATTTTCGTTCACTATGTTCACCTTAGTTAACCGTTTCACTTCTTATTGCAGCCAAAGTAAATTCACAAAAAAACATCAAGATTTCAATTTGTAAAATCCTTACAATAAATATTACGTATGCAAAAGTTTTGTCAAAGAGGTTTCATTTAAATTGTAATACCACAGGATTTTGTCCACTGATTCAAAAATAGCGAAAACGAATCAACTAGTCATAACGTATAAACTCGGTCTAAGGGAGAAAGGGTCACCCAAGCGTAATGTTGACGGTTGTATTTTGAATAATACAATTAATGACCGTTGATTAGAACGGCGATGAACGACCGAACAAGGGGGTCACTGATATTCGATTGAACTGAACAACTCTGAAGTACAAACCCCGCTACAAAACTTCCACTTTTTAGTCGCAATTGACCCGATGAATTCACCTTAGTAGCATTAAAATTATTCTCAGTTTGCAAGGATGATTTCTTATTTTTCCAGCTCATTCTAGCGAAGTCCAGTGCGGCGCTGCAAAAGTCTTAAGGCAGGATCAAAACTAAATCCAAAACATTAGTTTCCCATTTCAAGCCGATATGTCACAAAAGATAAGATCCTAAAGAGTTCCAGCTTGAGAGGAAAATGTTTCTCTTGTTTATGCCCAATATAGTGGATCAAATGTTGAATCCAAAACTCGAATAATCCAAATTAGTAATGTTTACCAATTTCTACTTAGATGGAAATTTTTGCGGGGGATTAATTTTCGAAAACCTACGATTACTTACAACTCTCGGGAAAATTAATCCCCAGCAAAAGAATAATAAAATGCATTTAAGGTATTATTTTTATCACTGAAATCTTAAAAAAAAAGAAAGAAAGGAAAACATCTCCAGGCTACTATTTGTGCGGTTTTTTTTTGTGCAGTTCCCCGGGCTTTATATTCTGGTGTACGTTTTCGGTGAAGGAGCTCATAGTTCAAAGTAAAATTAAAAAAACAGTTTTTTTGCTAGAATATAAATTGGTCTGTTGAGAGTAACAGTGAAGAATCAGGATATTCTTCGAAAAAGGTGATTAACCATTGAGAGAGAAAATTCTTTTTTCCCAATAATCCGTAATCTTTTATAGAAAAGGCAAACAGATAGAGTATGAAGGTATATTTTTCTAATATAATAAAATCTTATGCCTGTGAATTATTCATACATTAGCTTCTGGTTTACAGAGGTAGCGAGTTTGCTTACTAAAAATCTACGTAAATGATTCGTAACCATGCACTGCTAGAGCAAATAGATACTACACCGATGAAACACGTTGGCGTCTTCAAGAAATTTAAAACGAGGTTTACGCGCTATGAATTAAGTCGGGTTTAAACTAAAATTAATTTTCCTTTTAAGAAATTTAGAGGGTCAAAAACAATAAAATTAACATACCAGGGTATCCTGAGCTGAGTTATGGCTTGTATTTTGTTGACATATAATTTGGAAGTAATGGTCCTGGAGTTAGAAACGAATTGCATCTTTCGTTTTCCACATTTAAGTTCAAGCTTGGCATTTACCCCTAAAATAGCCAGTTCTAGTTCAAAACACAATCTCAAAATGTTTTCGCTGACATGGCGACCAATTCAAACACGACAAGCCCGGCTCCTCACACAGAGGTGTTGGACAATAACCTTCTTAAGATGACGCGTCATATCATTTCTAACAGCCTAAGTTAATCAATGTGTTGTGATTGGACAAAGGTCGTGCAGCTTCAGATGAAAGGGGGGGCTGGTGGTGCCGACATTTACCATCCTATTAAAGTTTACATATAAGACTTCTGCATTAAAAATTCATGAGTTTGCGCGATTGTTTTGATAAAAGAACTATCATTTAAGCGCTGGAAGTAATAAGAAACTCGCCAAGCGACAGTTAAATTGTACAGGCGATGAAGCAACAATTTAATTACGTGCGTTTTGAAAAAGAGCGTCAAGCTAAGTTTCTTGATTGTTCCTTTGCGTATTGAGGAATCGGAAGACGTTTTTTTTAAAAAAAGACGACAAAAATTCGCATTGAATTCAAACAGTGACTTAATCCATTTCAATCAAAAGGTAAGAATAATTATATTCAAAACTGCGTTCTAAGTGGGGGAGGTCAGACTAGCCATTGCAATAACAATGATAGGTTTCTTTGAAACTGAATTAATGCAGCATGAATACTGAACTATGTTCTAATATCATTTTTTTAAAAATGTTCCTAAAACAGCAAAAGCTTTCTGAATACAGAAAAAACCCAAAGAATTCGACTTAAAAAAAACCCAGTGGTCATACTGCTGGGAGCAAGATTTCTCCAACGAAAACAGCCAGAAATAGTCCGTAAATTGAGTCAAAATATTGGCCAATACTCTTTCACATTAATCGTTTTTTCCTTTAAGGGTCAACACAAAGGATAGTTGACAACAATCCTTCGAGGAAGCTGTAACCTAACATAAAAGCAATTAACAAAAACCCCAGGGAAACGGTTATTTTCCATTTTAGTTCATTCCCTCCAATAAGTGAACTTTCTAATGGCCGAGAGTCTTGATGATTACAGCTATATTTCCGAGGAAAGAAATTTGCGTCATCACAGGAATATCGCCGGAGGGTCTGTATGTCTATTAAGTACCTTGTACGGATGTTTTAAAATTGAGTATCGAACATATATGATACAACGCTGATTTTATTTTTGTCATTTTCATTTGACGATACGAGAACTTCTGCCGCAAGACCAGCGGAAATTAAATTTTTATCAGATTCACTAAAAGGGATTGTAACATGAAAAAGCTCTCATTTTAGTTTAGCAAAAAGATAAGACACGGGCTCACCTTTAGCAGATTCCATGGCCTGATGCGCGCGACGAGAGAAAAATGAAATTTCGGAGCGCACGTTTCACTGCAGTCGTTAATTTCTAATCCTATCCGCGTTTCCTGCTAAGTTGAGGACTCTTGAAAAACTAATCCGAGCAAATATTCGGCAGCTTTGGCATGGCAGCCGCATCTAATTTACTTGATAAATTGCGGGCTGAGTTCACATTTAAACAAAGGTGATTTTCCGTCAGCGCACCCCACAATTCACTCCATGACAAATCTTTCCGAGGGTGTCATGCTACTCCGGCCTAAATACACCAGGATGGGGATTTATATTTGACTCGAAGCCAAAATAAATGCGCATTACAAAGTAATATCCGGCATCTAGTCGAATTTACTTGCTTTTAAACCTTCTATTTGCTTTATGAAATGGAAACATTTACATTTAATTGGGAAGGCCCACCAGTGCACGCACTTTTAATAAGGTGCAAGCTACGTACATGACAGGTGACTTCGTTACAAAAATAAAGAACAAAAATTCTTCGACAAACACAAAAAGACGACCGCTTTCAGGTCAACCCGACAAGGAAATGATCTCTGACACAGCGTCGATCAAAAAAGAAATGTTCAAAAGATTCCTGACAATGCTCTGCTGCTATATTACAACCGTCAGGTATAATCCGGCACCAACATGATTGTGAAAGAGAAGTGTTGGAATACTAAGAGGTCAGTTTATTTTCTTCTCTCAACCCTCCCACTTCTGACATTGTTATGGTGAGATAATTTGTCACTGTAACTTTTAAATTTGCGGACGAAATCTTGTGGTGTTATCATTCACATGAAATTTCTTCAGCAGTACTTTCACATGGTACTATTTATTTAGTATGGAGTTCTAACTTTTGAGTCTGTGGATGAAATCCTATGTTGTTACCATTCAAATGAAACCTCTTCAACAGTACTTTCACATGGCACTATTTATTTAGTATGTAGCTCTAACTTTTGAGTTTGAGATGGAATCCTATGGTGTTACCATTCAAAAGAAACCTCTTTAGTAGTACTTTCACATGGCACTATTTATTTAGTATTTAGTTCTAACTTTTGAGACTGTGGACAGAATCCTATGGTGTTACCATTCAAATGAAAGCTCTTTGGAAGACCTTTTGCATGGTGCTATTTATTTTTCGGTTTTTTTAAAAAGAAATTTGAATAATTTTGTGAACCTTTTCTTTTGCCACAATTAGGAGTAATGGGTTAAGATACAGTTTATTTCAATACCCTGATCAGTTTAACGTCCTTGACACGCGGCCCGAGGGTGAAAAGCGGGTCAGTTGGCCATCTTTGTTTCCTAGGTGAAGTACATAAGTAATTTCTTACAGTAATTAGGATTGTTTGGCTTTGTAACAATATTGCTTTTTGCCACTTCTTATATTTTGTTTACTCTATACGACAATCGCATATACGCGTTTCTGTGACCTTCCAATTAAGTTCCTCGCGTCGATCATATCGGATATATTTGATACCGATACGTTACGTGACCTTGAGATTAGCATACGTCGAGTTTAATTGTATTTCAACGACGACACGGACGCGTTTACATCAACAGGCAAATTCTCTACACTACTGTTCATGCATTTCTCATACTGTAACTGAGAAGAATTTGTTTGAAAATCAAGACATTTGGCGCTTTGGTGAGCATTTCTTTGATATTAATCGCTTTTAAAAGATATTATTATTATTAAGCTTCTAATGATGATGACGATGATTATAATTATTCTTACTGACAAGTAATTATTAAATTAATGTAAGTATCTTAACTTAACCAGCGCATACGAAGGCACAGGGATCCCATGATCGGATTGCATGAAATGATAACAAGCAATGATTGGACAGACGAGGTTTAGCAAAATATCGTGATTTTTCAGTAGCAAGCAGATTATTTGGTTACTGACTGCTTGATCCTCAGGCACGTACTATTTATGCACCAATCTTCAGTTGACACAAGACGCTGCTGAAGCGTAAACTTGTGCTTTATCTACATAGACAAATTGTGATGAGCTTATCAAAACAAAGAACGTTTTTCACCAGAAGCCTTAGTCCCAGTTCAAACGTCGATCTTTTCACGTACCGAACCTAATCCCTTCAATTAAGTACATGAAAAGATCGACGTTTGAATCAATTAAGTTGGACATATCTAATTCGGCTCGACCCATGATTTAAGATCGAGTGGCCCCCTGTGGGAATTTCGACAGTGGAGCGACTTCTCATGTGCCGAACCTAATGCATAAATTACTAATATTTTCACTTGTAAGCGTTTTAGACCATTAAACATCGTGAAAATGAATTGAGTCCGACTAATTAAGTTCGATGCATAAAAAGATGGACGTTTGAACTGGGCCTTAGCGATAATATACTAGCATGAACACTTCAAATATTCTGACCTTATGCATTCATCAGTTCATTCATTATTGCGGCAAACCGAAGCAAAAACAATAGGAATTTATGAGCCTGTCGTCACTCCGCGGTACATGTAGAAAGCGCATTAGAGTTCGAGTGCTGGTTTTTGGCTAAATGACGAGAAATCTTCCTCGATATTACACATCTCCGATTCCACAAGAAAAACAAAAAATGACGTCATGACCAGACTATGGATTGTGTGAAGGATAGGAAAGATTTTTCGCAGATATTTCAAAAAGCAACGTCCGTACTAGGAGAACAGTAAACAGTTTGATTATTGCGAGGTGTATCTAACACTCGCCAGCATCAAAAATTTAAACCCTGAGTATCATTGATATAACACTTCTTTTCATGCTTCTAAGAGAGACGCTTATTCGATACTGGGAGCTTATTGCTTTTCCTCGCTAAAGGATGGGCGCTTATTCGAGGTGGGCGCTAATTCGAGGTTGGGTGCTTAATCGAATAAATACGGTGAATAAATAGTTGATAAAAGAGATGACAAGGAACGGCCTTGGAGGCTCGTCTGTATTGTCGCAATTTTTGTAACAACTCCATCACACTTTGTAACACCTGTCGCAATTCGTAATAAACCACGTCGCAGTTTGTAATAAATAAGTTGTCGAAATTTGTAATAACTGTCCATCCGTGTCGCCCTCTGTAATAAAAATCTGTCGCAATTTATAATAACTGTCTATAAGACTTTGTAATAAACTAAGCTGTCGCAATTTGTAATAACTGTCCATAAGACTTTGTAATAAACTAAGCTGTCGCAATTTGTAATAACTCCAACGCACTTTGTACATGTAATAAACTTTTGAGAGCGGTTCCCTCTCTTGTGAGCTATGTATCTCGTTTGTGTGTCGCGGACCTAAGTATTTTAATTCATTTCGTGTTATTTAAATTCCTAGTTAGTTATTTAGGGGGTCAATACCCCTTTCTTGCTTTCTATCCATTGGCGTTAATTCCCTTTTTTTATTTTTGCTTTTATGGGTTGTAATAAAGTTGTTGTTGTTGTCGTTGTTGTTGTTGAGATCATCTGAATGGATAAATTTAGGTTTCTGGGAAACTGCCCACCTTCCCCTCCCCTAAGCCAACATTATCACTTACTTCTCACCTAATGCAAAATGTTGGCTTAGGGGAGGGGTAAGTGGGCAGTTTCCAGAAACCTAAATTGGGTCAAATGAACAAGTCGAAACTGTTCTTGTACCTTCGGAAGGGATAAGTGTCGGTCATTACAAGAAGCACAAGTTTTTCAACGACATGATAATTTCGAGCATAATATCATGAGTGATGCCTGAAAGTATAATGTTCGATTTTAGCAGCATAATCTGACCGACCCTATGTCTGATCTTCTAAGTTGTCTATGTATTACTTTGACTTAGCTCCAGTGTTGTTCCAGTTTAAATAAAACCCTTCAAAACCACGAATAAAAAAGAAACTAAACATTCTGATTCCTTCTTAAACAGCTATGTATACGACTTATCCTAGGTGACTTGTAATAACGTAGGTTCTTTAAACGCAGATGCTTACTACATTTAGTAAACAAAGCACGCGCAATTCGCGAGAATTATACATAAGCCTAGGTTATAATTGTCACACCAAGGTTTTGAGTTGACAACTTCCCTGACGTGGTACTATAAGAGATAAACAGTTGGGAGTATTTGACAATCGGCAGTGACACCTAACAACCAGCTCCCCAGTATGATGAATTAAATAGTTCAAAACATAACAAACTATACTCACACAGGAATTGACTATCTTTACAAGGCGTAAATTATATAGCTGATTTAAAGCTTCCAAAGCAGTCTTGCAAAGGTGTGTTCGTATTTTCATCGATTAATCGACAAATTGAAACAGCTTTGCATCAAGCGAATTTATGCAATATTCCATAAATGAAGGTAACACCAGATCTGACCCTATCAACAACAATATTTGATAGAAAAATACGATAACACAGAGACTCACCTTACATTTTAAAATCACCTGTTTTCCTATCAAATACCAGTTTCCTTCGTCGAGGACTGAGTGAACACTTGAACCAGACACATTAATCATATCATTTTCTTTCTCTGCACCTGCAGTGGTTATTAATAAAAAGCGTAGGAAAAACAGCGAGATATATAAGCTTCTTCCTTAATTTTGCTCTTGCTCATTTAACAATTTTGTATCCGTAGGGTGTCGAATGTGGTGTAAAATAAACGAGTTGTTTTTTTCAAAATATTCGCTGCATTGTCTGTCGAGTATCGAATTGAAATTGCTTTTTGTATGCTTTATTGGCGACACGCGCTCTTCGTGTGAGACAAATATAGATCACTTGGTTACCGTAGATGCAGTGGAAATATGCATGGTCAAATTAACTTTCTTACAGATTAAGTGTGCCTCTGCACAGCGCTTTCAAGTTAATTCGTGGAGCATGACAAGCTAAGATGAAACATGAACTGTGCTTTTAATTTACAAGAGTCCAACAGATTATTAGGATCTTTTATGCACATGAAGCATAAATTAATGCTTTTTTGATTGTTGAAAACCAAATTTCTAGGACAAAGGTAGGTAGTTTAGATTTTCTTCGCCACGACGTTAGTTTCAATTAAAAAAACGGTGAATTTATCAAAAAATATTCCCTTAATATTTTTCAAGCTTCCATAACAAAACAACGCTATATTGAAAGGTCAACGAATGCTAACTTAACAATGGCACTTCTCTTCGGACTTTTGTTTTATCATAACAACCGGTTTTAAAAGATAAACAATATCATTGAATGAACCAAGGCTGCTTACAAACACTTGCGTTATAGGTACTATAAGATTTAAAAACATAAAGCGAAATATTAATTTAGCAGAATCGGAATCAGTTTGTGGACAAAAGACGCCAAATAACACCTGTAATTTCATATTTCTTCCGCAGGGAAAATATCGGAAATGCTACATGCTGAGAAGATAACACCACCGTGCTGACCGATTTCAAATGTACAAGTAGATGAAAAGGTAAAAGATGAAATTGAGTAGAAATTATTAACCAGAAGGTAGGTCGATATGGACAGGTCTTCACCATGGAACCTTCTCCACGACATTAGAGTTGGCCTCATCAACAAACAATTTCAGGTGTGGCTACTGCCATCTTTTCAAATCACCGTCGCCTCTAGACACGGAATACACGAAGGATAGAAAAGCCTAGGCTAGCCTTAGTAAAGATATATGGTCGAAGCAGTTTTAGCTTTTCAACATTCTAGATCAATTTTCAACAGATATCGCCAGACGGTTTTTTTCTCATAATTAATGGCCAGACAAGAGACGCTAACGAACAAGTGAACAGACAATTTATGACGCCTCTCCATGTTACTCAATCTTTTCCCCCACCCGCCATCGCCTACATTCATTGTTTTCGTAAGAGGGCTGCAAGAGAGCACGAGAGTAAGAGATGGCATAAAAATCTATCGCAATCATGTACGTTCTTCTTCAATAGCGGCTCATTAACGACTTGAAACGTCAAACTTCACATGAGGCGAATCACCCTGATCCATAAATCCTCATTGTGCTGTTAAGTAGTTAAAACAAGGACGTCCATAATAACAGCTTTTGAAAAGAGTATAAAGTTTCTGAATTGGCCCTACGTGATCAATGACGTTTGCGATTTTTAAATATTTTGACAGCGCTTTTGCGGTTTCCGTCGCTTTTTTTTCTGAATTAAAATGACCCTCTTTAAATAACCAATAAGCCTGCAACTGCTTACGTGACGCGAACCATCGTTACATAAAGCGTTCTAATGTGACGTCAAGTCCGTGTACCGAAAACAATGAGACGGCAGCCAAACCATTTGGAATACTTTCTTTTCTCCGATAAACCATAGTATAGTTCCTAGTCAGAGAAAGCGAGGGGCCGGAAAGAAAGGAGCACTTGCGACGATCTTTGATAGTTTTCTTTCCGCCAGGGTTTTCCTTCAGTTCTCGCGGCTTTGCTACTCGCTCGCGCGTTTGTCTCCTGCTGCTCGCTTCCCTCGCCTCTCGAAATGAAGGGCATTCTAGCAGGCTAAAAACACAAGAAACAGTTTTTTTCATCACACATGTAATTTTGTCGAAATACTCCCACACGTGTTTTATTTTCAGACTGATTATTCCGAGTGTTTGACAAGTGATGAAACACTTTGTCTCGTTTTTTATATATTACGGTAAGCATTCTTTGATTTAAGTCGGTTCAGAGATGTGTTTTGCTTGAAACATCAAGTTGTTAGGAATTTAAATGTTTCTTTTATAGCTGTTACTTCAACTTAAGTAAATAGACTGGAATATATACGAAAAAAACAACGCTACGAACAAGCACAAGCTAATATCTCTCAAAGAGCTCGAGAGTGACTAAACAATCTGAAGTAATTTCCTATAATTTCCAAAAAAAACTAAAACGCTACGACCGAAGGAGTAAAAAATGACCAGCTGGCTTTTAATTGGCAAAAAAAAAAGAATAAACAAATTTTCGTGATGTTTTACACCTTACTAAGTAGAAAGTAGAATCTTAGCGAACTCTGGCAAGCCTATGTAAAAACGCACTGTTTAAAGCTAAGGTCTGGTAACTTTAGCGCGGTAACGGTTAAAAACTTACTCTTCTTAGCTAAATAGTAACTCTATTTGTTTTTGAAATTGCTTAAAGGCATAATTAATCAAAAAAGTCAATATAAATTAAAGTTACCCACAGACTACGGCTGAAGATACTTTTTCAAAACAATCAAACTTTTGTCCGCATATAAACTATGTAAAAGTGTGAAGTTCAACATGCTTTGATAGTTTGCTTTGGTTCAAATCTTCGATTTTCACTTTTCAAGAAGATCTTCCCAGTTGTCTACTAAATGGCTAAGATCCTACGAAATAGCGAGCAAAAGAAATAGAGCGTCATCACAAGTGCATGCGCACAACAGCGGAAACACGATCCCAACTGAACATTACCTCGTACTGTTAAAAGGTCGCGTCAGATATTCTCGTCCTTAAACATAGAAACTTCACGGCTTCATAGTTGTGAGAATTTCAAGGAAAAGATAAAATACACTTCGCAGTTTTATGCCGAAAACGAAAACATAGCAATTAGTTTAGCAATTACAAAATCATTAACAAACCATCAATCATATGAACGCTTATTTTTACATATACTGTGCATGCGGATTTTGTCTCGCTCACTCATTGGCTAATTTCTGAACTTGTTATCGTGAAAATGACTACATTGAACCCTTCAATGAAACGTTTCATCTGTTAAGCTCTTTTAGTGCTGAAGTCATACGCCTAAGAGTCAAAACATGGACCTTGATTTGTACATACAAATCTACTTTGTTTATCGTATGACGTAACAGCTGATAATATGACCAGCGCTGAATTAGCAATTCACTTTTATTATTTGTTACCAAAAAACATACCACTCGTATGCTCATTGAGGGCCAAACGAATCCACCACTGGCAAGGAATATAAACAATATGATTCTGGGCTGTTTTTAGTGACGTTTAAAAGAGGAATACAGCTCGCAACGATAACAAAATGTTTTGTTGCGAAAAACCTCCGAAGGTAAGAGGGTCTCAATGGTTGATGGTTAGTTTTTTCCAGAGTTGACGGTTGATGATTAAATTTTAACGCTTTTGGCGGTTGACGATTATTAAGTGAAAATTTACTCCAAGATTTTAAGTAAATATTAACTTCTGTATTAATTAATAATAAGTTTTGTGTATTGGAGGTTGTCTTGGCCTTTCACATATGAAATTTCAAAATATTTTCAGATATAACCAAGTCAGGGTTGTAAAGTCTTGTAATGTCTAGAGAGAGTCTTTTGCGGACATGGGAACTGGTTTTTACAGTTCAGAGATTCTCCAGAAGCCAGAAGTCCGTAAAGATCAGCTGATCAGCTTTTTGACGGTTTATGATGATCCACATTTTTGACGGCTGACAGTAAAATTAGGGGGTTTTAGCAACGACGACCGCGACGGCTACGAGAACGTCAAAACAGCAATAGGTTTATTAAACGAAACATTAAGTTGCACGTGCATCACGCTTTTTTGTACATTTCTTTGCTGTTGCTACAAGACTACGACGTGAAAATGCCTAATTTCACATTTTATAGAGGACATAAACAAGCGACAGGGAAATTTTCTTTCTCTTTCTAAACTTGAGTGGGTCCCCAAGAAATCAACTCCAGGGAAATTTACCTACATTAGACATTTTCAGTGAATTGGAATTAACGCGATAAAGTTTGAAAAACGCTAAGTCATTTTAAAAGTGACGATTTCGCTGTCATAGCCGACGTCGGTGCTAAAACTCCCTATTACCCTTTTTCGGCGGCTGATGGTTAAATTTTAGGTCTTTTGACAGCTGACGGTTCACTCCATTAAGAACCTCTGCCGAAAGAATACAAAATCATTTGATATTTTGTGAAAATGCAGAAAACAGATTTTACCACAGCAAGGAACCGCTAAGTAGTTGCCATTAAAAGCTGGTACACTTTAAGATCTTATCTGTACTGAGTGGGTGTTAGGACCTCCTTGTCATACAAAATTTAAACAGTTTATTTTCATGGTAACAATGTAATGCGGAATTTCATTCAAAGAGTCAAGTTATAAATGCTGTAAAGCGACTGAAAATAAACAGTTCCTACTTAAAATACTACTAAAACGCTTTCAAAATACTGCCTAGTAGCTTTCACTTGAATGGTCACACTTAGGGATTTCACCCACAGAACCAATAGTGAGAACAATGTTGTACAGCATAATAAATAGTACGACAGGAAAGTACTGCTCAGTAGCTTTCATTTGAATGGTCACAATTGAGGACTTCACCAACAGAATCAAAAGTTAAAATCATTTTGTAGAGCATATTATTATATAGACACGAGTGTTTTACTGGAAAATATACCACTCATAAAATTCATAAAAGCTACATCCGGGACCCGAGGGGTTTATTTTCCATAACCTCACACGTGAGTTTATCGATGACGTAATTTTGGTAATTTTCCTCTATTATTTTACCGATGTTATTTTTATCTATATGATAAAAAGAAGATTACACGGCCGCTTGAAGATATGAATTTTATTTTCTCGTGGCAAAAACAATATTTTACTCACTCGCTGCGCTCGTTCGTAAAATATTGTTTTGCCACTCGAAAATAAAATTCATATCTTCGCGCCACCGTGTAATATCCTCCATATAAGCAGCGCCACCGGAAAGTATTGCTCAGTAGTATAGCTTCAGATTTGAATGATCACAAATTGAGGTTTTCCTCAGGTTTGAATAAACATACAACAGTGCTGAATGGAGAGCATATATATATATATGAATGGTATTGCTCATTAGAATTTCATCCACACTCGGAGGCAAAATCTCTTTGCCTAATAGACATTAATCATACCTCCCATTTTTTGCATGCGCTTTAGGATTGATGAGATAAAAGGAATGTCACCTGGTATTTCAGAGGGAAAACAAAATATAAAATTTGACAATATGAATAATCGCCGTCCAGTTTGTCTATTCTCTCAAAACGAAATAATTTAATAGTCATACAAAATGTACGGTTCGAGTTTCGACAAAATTTATGTCCTTATTGCTTGCTGAGAGGACATCTCTGTTCGCCACTGCATTAAATAAGTAACAATGATCACTTCCACCCGTAAGTTGTCATTATCGTCTTTAATATAAAAAGTTGATCATTTTCTGTTGTCTGGAATAAACAAACTCGAACGCGATTTTTTTAATGGCCAGTTTTATCACTTGATTGCTACCTGAGAAACCACGTGACAACCTTTTCACCCAATCAGTCCTTAAGCGCGTGCCAAGATGGCGGATATCGTGAATAAGGTCTATTGAGGTATAACAACGGCAGAAACAGGCAGACCACTGACAAATGTCATCGTAATTATATTAGTATGTGTAATCAAATGGTGACGAGTGAAATTAGGGAATAATTTCACGAGTATACCACTTTACCTATTAATTTCATGGGTGACGAATTACGTTAGCAATCTTGGATTTTTGACATGTTTATCCTGGATAGTATCGATCGAGAACTCCACTCTCTCAAATGTTTAGACCTTAAATTTGGCTTACAAAGTTCAGAATTTTTTAGACTATTTCGGCAAAATACCTGTTAGAATCCTTCTTGATGTTCTCTTGTGTGTTCAGGTTTTCTAAAGCGTCTTTTTGTGCCCTGACATCTTCATTCACGGCATTTTAAAACTTCGTCGCCATCTTGACACTGAAACGTACGGAAGGTTACCATGGCAATTTTGTAATTTCACATGTGAAATTACAAATTAACGCTGAAATTTCGCGCCAAAATTAAGGAGTAATTCGTCACCTATGATATTAAACCCTTCAATCCCTAAAGTGAAAATTCGACAAAATTTTGAATTTTTTTTTCAAAATGCTGAAAAACATAGCACCGGGTGAATGTTATAGCGAAGACTACGAGAGGTTCCAATTAAATGGTCATAACGCAAGAGACTCAAAAGTCAGAACCACCTTGTAGTGGTGAAAGTGTTAAGAATTCTATTAAACAATTCGAGAAGCGTTCTCGTTAACGAGTCTGTCAGGAACTTATGGGAGAATTTTTAGGTTATCAAGACTCGCAGTAATAAAAAAACCAACCTACAGCTATGAAATAATAAATAAGTCTTTTGCATAAAGACTTGATAGCCTCATTTCTTAAAATGAAAACGTCAGGTTTTGTAAAGCTTTTGAGACATTGCTAATTCTTTCGTATCTGGTCACGTTCATACTATGGAATTTTTTTATTTTAAGTTTCGGTACAGAGGAGAGGTGATGACGTCACAAAAACTAATTTTGTGAACTTATGGGAGAGGTTAACTTTTCCAGGAAGAACGAGGTGAAAAATGTTCACTTGCCAAATATCAGCCTTTCAGAGTTAAGCATTGTTATGCTCAAATGACTCCATATAAAATCTTAAATGCGCCTGGATGGTAAACGTTTCGATCCAAGTCAACATAAGGATTTGTATGGAGTCGTCAGAGCATATAGGTAATTATATCTCCCCGACAATTTGCACTTTAAGGCTGATTTTTATCAAGTGAATATTTTTCATATTGTTCTTTCTAGATATGTTGACCTATCCCATAAATTCACAAATTTGAATTTATGTGACGTCACACTTTGGCTCTAATCGATAACATCTTTCATCTTTTATCTCAAACTGAAATTCATTAGCAATTTTAAATATGCCTTTTTAATGAAAGTGGACATCAATTATTTTACGCAGGCGTCACTGAGATCGAAGAGACAAAATATGGAGCGACCTACACAGCTCTGTAAAGGGCAAGAGGAGACTTCCTCAAATTCGGCGGAGGAGGGGCCGCGAATTCCTCGTCTCGTCATAGAATCTACTGGCCAAACACGATTTGCAAGTTCGGTGGTCAAAGTGCTATCATTGCAACGATTCTACAAGAAAACTGGGCAACGCTCGCGAGACTCATGGCTAGAACGATATACATATCAGGACGACAGGGACTGGCGCCGGCCGCTCATGCGCAGATCAGCGTCGAATTCGCCGCAAGTACAGAGCCCAACATCTGAGGGGACCGCAAGTTCCCGCGATGCATCAGACTCCTCACCTGACCGGGACAGCCCTAGCCGTTTCTGCTGTGACGTCACATTTGTGTTCGATCCATCAGGTAATGTTTATTTCTTCTGGCTGCTAACAGTTACACTCGGCATTTTGTACAACTACTGGGTCATCATTTTCCGGGTGGCATTCTTCGTGCGAGAGCAGAAATATGTCATTCCTTTCATGGCCATCGACTACAGTTGTGATTTTATATTTCTCCTGGATATCATCGTCCAGTTTCGCACTGGCTACTTCCTGGATGGCAAGATAGTCACGGATACAAAACAGCTGGCCAAACACTACGTCAGGTCTTACGGGTTCTTCCTCGACTGTGTCTCTATTCTTCCGACAGATTTGCTCTACCTGGTGCTCGGTCCCAGGCCTTTTTTGCGCTTTGGGCGTCTTCTTAAAGCACACCGATTTTTCCTGTTTTGTGACCGCGTTGAGATCTACAGCGGTCGACCAAAGCTCTTCAACTTGTTGAAACTGATCCATTACTTGTTTCTGATAATCCACTGGGTAGCCTGTTTCTACTTTCTTCTTTCTTACTTTGAGGGATTTGGCGCCGACTCATGGCTACATCCACCTCTTGAGAAACAGTGGGCCGAGGTAGGAAACAAAACATTTTTGTTTTTCTAAAAACCCCACAATAATTCAATAATTTTCGAAAAATCACCAAAATTTTACCGATCTTTAATATACAGAGACGTTATAACATAAGTACCATTTGAAAGTACCGCTGAAGAGGTTCCATTTAAATGGTAACACCATAGGATTTCGTCCTCAGATTTAAAAGTAAGAATGACAAATAAACTTCAATGTCATCACTTCCGTCATGAGTGAAAGGGCTAGCATGATCGACCTTAGCAGCCCTTATCTTTGGGATACTCAAGTTGATCCCAGTTCGCAGCAATTCAATATTTACGTAAGTTTCTAATACTTATAGGTCGGTCCACAATACCTGTTTTGCCTGTTCCGTTCTCTGGTTTCCATGACAACTGTTGGTACAGGGAAGAACAAGCCACCGCAGACCACCATGAGCCTAATGTTCTGCATCTTTACATACCTCTGTGGAGTGCTCATTTTTGCCACTATTGTGGGCAACGCAGCGGATATGATAGTGGATCTGAGACGTCATAGAGAGAAGTATCACAGAAAGGTAAGCAGTTTTTTTACTCTTGTTTTTCACATTACGTCACCAAAACTCTTTATTAAAACAAATCTTCGGTTCGAAAGGGTCTCCTTTTTACGATAGAGGACGCTTGAATTTCCAAGCTTTTGGGTGACGCAGCCGGGAAAGCTCTTATCTGGGTTAAAAACGTTACCGATTTTTTGAGATTTTGTTATCTAAACATTCCTTGTCTCAGAATAAATATTACTTTAATCTTTCTGAGTTCCTCAAGTGATATATTTACGCTTTTGTTGGAAAAGTCAAAGCCAGATGTTTCTGTTGGTTTCCGGCCGCCATACTTGTGCCACTCAAAGGGAAACCAACATGGCGTCTCTAAACAAAGCTTTGAAAATTTTGGTAAAACATTTTCCCGAATATCGTAACGTTAACGATCCACGACAATTATAGAAGGATTTATATGAATACTGTGGATACATCGGAGCATGACGTTGCTTATATCTCCTCACCAATTTGCACCAACAGGCTGATTTTAGCACGTGGACATTTTTCATCTTATTATTTCGGGATATGCCAACCAATAACAGCAATCTATAATTTCACAAATTTATTTTTTTTTTGTTATCACTCCTCTTCTCTATGAAGAGGACATACCTGGTGCATCAGGGTCTTTAGGAATTCTGTAAAAGTAAAGATTATTTGTATCTCTAAAACTATTATTGCGGGCGACAAGAGAAGCCCGCAATCCTATTATTAGTTGTTATTACGCATGCGTTGCATGTTTGTAGCCAGCATTCCTTTGGACTTACACAAAGAATGAGTGGAATGCACAGAACGCAATTTGATCACTCGCGTTTAGACCTTCTTTCACTCGCAATCTGATCACGCGTGTTTTGACCATCTATCACGTGAAACTTACGCAGAGCACAGCGTTTAAGCAAATGCGTTTTGACCTTCGGTTGTTGTCACCTGCGCTCCCTGAACTTTTGGTTATTACTAGTTGTAGTTCGGAACACAGCACTTGTAGCGCCTCTGCGCCATGTTTGTTGACCTTCATGCCGGCCCTGCAAACGATCCCAATAAGCTTTGTGGTCGCAAATCGTGCTCAGATTTTCACCGGCTTACAACATGGCAAATAGGCTTCAGCTCTACTAGGAGGAGACTCCTGAAGTGATGACAGTTACTGACAGGACATACTACTGTTCTCCTTACACTCTTCTGGCTAAGAACGCCTTCAATTGCGCATTACATTCTCGCGGGGTGTGTTGTGGTCAAATTAAGGTCGTTTCGCCCGGAGGTCGATCAGCCCGATGGCAGTTCGCTCAGCCTAAGTCGATTCGCCTTTGTGCATTTGTGGTTATTTAAGCCTGAGAAAAAGGAATAAGCATGGAAAGACAGTCACTGCACATGTGGAATCTAAGGTTAACTAAAAGAAGATCTCGGAGAAGTAGGTTTACCATGTTGTGGAGTGTAGAAATGTCATCGGGCGAATCGATTAAGTCCTCGCGAACGCCTTCAGGCGAATCGACTTTTGGGTGACACGACCGCAATTCTTCTTCTGTACTCACCTCACCCTCTTACAACTGTTTTATCTGTAGCTCGACGGAATGAAGGAATACATCGCCGCCAACCAGCTGCCCATGGATCTACAACGCCGCGTGGTACAATGGTTTGACTTTGCCTGGAGGTACAAGAAGGACATGAGCGAGGAACAACTTTTTCAGCAGCTCAATGATAACTTCCGCGCTGAAATCGCCATTCATGTCAACCTTGATACCCTGAAAAAAGTTAAGATGTTTGAGAAATGTGACCCAGGATTCCTACGAGAGCTTGTGCTGAAGCTGAAACCAATGCTTTGTTCCCCTGGTAAGATAACTTAAACTCAAGTTCAGTCGTATATAGTGTTCCTCCCTTGCTTCCTGGTACAATTCGTCGCTCAATCTCACGCACTGCAAAAAGAGTTTTGCGAGCCACCTAAGTAAAAACACTTTATACATATCTGATTGTTGCATTTCACAAGTACGGTTTGTCGCTCAATCGTACGTAACCTGTTCAGCAAGTGCAATTACAATTATTGTGATGATTGTGATTAAACCGCTGAATATTACATTTATGAAGCGCCCTTTAGTTTTATTTTATTCTGGTTGACGATAATACGCTTCTTGGTTATTTTTAATACAGGAGACCACGTCTGTCGCGAAGACGAAATTGGCCGAGAAATGTTTATTGTGAACAAAGGCGAGCTGGAAGTCGTAGACAAGAAGGGCAATGTGTTGGCTAAGCTGTTGGCCGGTCGACACTTCGGCGAGATAAGCATCCTCGATATGAACGGGATCGGCAACCGTCGGACAGCTTCGGTCCGTTCAGTGGGCTTCTCCGATCTTTTCCGACTTTCAAAAAAGGATCTAGAGGAAGTGATTGAGTACTACCCAGAAGAGAAGGATCAGTTGGCGAAGATAGCTCGACAGACATACGAGAAACAACAAAAACAGCGACAGCTGCATCAAACAGTAACAGATGAGGATGGGGGTAAGATATCAAAGGGCAAGGAATACCATGACTTGCAGCGTTCATATCGGATGCAACTTTGGTTAAACCTATGGAACTATGGGAACGGATCGGCTTGCGGAATAAAAAGGGAAGAGTTAAACTAAGTGCAAACGGACGTACAACTCCCAATATTGGTGGGCCAACAATGTTGGGGGTTCTTGCGTCTGTGTTGGCAGTGGTGTACAAACGGATGCAAGAACTCCCAACATTAATATTGTTGGGATCTGCAGTACATCGTGGAAAGGATACAAGCCATAATGCACGTGCGTGGCCCCGTGGATGCAACATTAGCGAGCTTAAGCAACGACGACAGCGACGGCAACGAGAACGGCAAAAAAAAAAAGCAATTGGTTTAGATTGACAAAACAAGGGCTTTGCACGTGCATCACGCTTTTTTGTACATTTCTTAGCCGTCGTTGCACGACTACAACGTGAAAGCGCCTCATTTCACGTTTTGTCGAGGACAGGAACATAAGACAACGCGTTTCTTTTTCTTTTCCTGAACTTTGATACAGTCTTTTAGAATTCAGCTCCAGAAAAAGTTGCCAACATTTGAGGAACTGAACGAGAGGGACTAAGCGCGAAACAGTGTGAAGCAGAGCGACTTTACTTTTTAAATGACGTTTTCGTAGCCGTTGCCGTTGCTTAAGCTCCTTATTGTTGTGCTACGCTTCGGTGATCACGGAACAAGAGAAATGCTTGGAGTTGTTGGCTCAAACGTTTGACCGATCTTAAACTTTGCGCAACAATTCCCAACAACATGCAACAGGGTGTGCAAACGGACGCAACACGTAACATCCACCAATCTAGGGAGTTGTTAGCCAACAATAAGGACTTTAAGATCCAACGACGCGACGGCGACAAGAACGTCGCTTAAAAAGTGAATTTGCGTTCTTTCAGTATTTATAGCGATTATTCCTAACCACTTACTTTGTGAAATGTAGGCGAACCCTCCTGAGGCTGAATTTCAAGGAACCATATTCAAGCTCAGAAAGAGAAATAAAATTTCGTCGTTGCTTGTTTACGTCCTCTATAAAGGGCGAAATTAGGCATTTTCACGTCGTAGTCGTGCAAAAACGGGAAAGAAATAAACAAAAAAGTGTGATGCACGTGCGAAGTTGTTGTTTTGCTTATTAAACCTATTGTTTTTTTTTACGTTCTCGTTGTCGGCCGCGTCGTTGGATCTTAAAGTCCCTAATGATGCGTCCGTCTGCACGGGGCCTTAGGTTTATTCTAGTTAGCTCCTCTATGGTGAAAATCGTGAGGAATATCGAAACCTGCGCTATTTATTTAGTATATAGTTCTACCTTTTGTGTCTGTGGATGAAATCCTATGGTGTGACCATTCAAGTAAACCCTTTTCAGCAGTAATATAATAATATAATATAATATTTTTTTGGTATATTCTTCTAACCCGGAGCCAGCGGGAATATGAGCTGTTTTTCTAGCTTACATAGTTTGTAGATGAAATCAAACGATGTGACCATTCAAATGAAACCTTTTTGGCGGTACATTTGCACGAACTTGGGCATTTTTCTTCATTTTTGACTTGACTCATTTCTGGAAGTGAAATAGACTGCAAAACAGTCAGTATTATTATTTTTTCAAAATCGGTTTTACAAGGCGCGAAGCGCGCGGGCCTCAGACGCCCGTTGGGTGGCAGTCAGGGCGGATCCGCCCCGGTGGCAATCCAGACCTTTCCGCGCTTTGACCGCTCGCGCGCGAGTTGTTAACCTACGCAAAAAATACGGGCTGTTTTGCAATCTAGAAGTAAAACGATTATTCTAATTTTAGGAGAAGACTCGATCATGGAGAAGAACGATCCACGTAGATGGCTGGTGGCCGACAAGGAAACGCTTCAGCGTCGGTTGTCTCTGATAGAAGCTAAAAACGACGTCAAGGCGCTTGCAAGCAAATTTAGAAAGGAGAACGGCCACGTCTTGAACCCACGCGAAGTGGTGGCTTCGTTAGCGCAACGAGCACGAATGGAAAGAAGTGACGAGGAATCCAGGCTCATTGTTAAGGACTTTTTAGCAAGACGTAAGAGAGATAAAATTGCGACAAGAAACGCGGTATCACAGGACAGTGTGATCGTAAACTGGGATGATAATGGTACCAAAGAACTAAACGCAGCTTTTATGGAGAATTGTTCAATTGATCAGCTGAGAAAAAGTCAGCGAAAATTCTTCGGCCGCCCTCGTTCACGTACGCAGGTCAGTTTAGCTATTGGTGCAAAGGTGTAGCAGGAGTTATTGGGCTGCCTGTGCCCCCCCCCCCCCCCCCCCCCCCCCCCCCCCCACCCAAAGGTAGGTTATTAGTTGGGTTGGGTAGGGGTGGGCCGTCTATTCGGCCACTTTTTTTTTTTTGGGTTTTTTAAAAATGATAAAAAATTTTTTTTTACCATTATTAAAATGTTAAATATTATTTTTATTTCTTTTTTTTTAGCCCCCCCCCCCCCCCACACCCGCCCCTCACTCAGCCAAAGTTAGGTTAATAGTATGGTATGGTATGGTATGGCATGCTATTCGGACACGTTATTTTCTTCAGGTATTTACAAAATGATATAAATATCTTTTCTACAGATATCATAATGGTATAAATATTGTTGATCACTGATTTGTTTTATTCACAAGGAATCCAACCCAAACTCACCCACAAGGAACGAAATTCCGTTGTTCACTTTCAAATCAAACAGCTCGGAGAACTGCGATCAGAAGAAGGGTCAGTCTTCAAACTCTTCATCAGCGTTTACCATTAAGCTTAACAGAACTCCGAGCCAAAAGGGAACAGCTTCAGCTTTCAAGAAAGGTATCTTGAAAAATAGTGGCAATAACGCGATAAAACTGCGACCGTGTGAATCAACTGAGACTTCATCCTGTTACGAAAGTGCTAGCAGCGACGCTGAGAGTTCAAGCAGCTGTCTCACAGGTAAGATGAGGTGCTGCATACAAAATGAAGAAACGCATGACAGTAGCAATAGCAGAAATAGTAAGAGTGGTGGGAATAGAAGTTATGGTTTTAATCGTACTGTACTTTTCGCGGTTGTGACAGCAAAGCTCTTGCGCACCGACGCACAATGGGTGAGAAAATTTGGTTATCTATGCAGGCAAGAAATTAGGTTCTGACAAGAACGCCCGTACGTACCTTCAACCCTTCTTGTTAGCGGATGTGAATTGTCTTACTTACCAAGGCATATACATATTGTGTGTAACTTGATACATGATTATGATCAATTGACGGCTGTCAAAATCGGGTATCTGCTGACCCATGTCACATGAATGTATCGCGGGCGCAGGTGTACAACTCATTGATGATACGTGTTTTTATTAATTCTCCACTGACCAGTTATGTCATTATAAATGATGGCAGACTCAGAAAACTTAACTTCAGAAAGACATTTCTTAAAAGTTCCCACGAGAGCTTCGCTTTTGCCCTTGGCTAAATCTGTATATTAGTGGTACAGTCAGTAGTGATGGTATTTGTAGTGGTAGATGTCCGTGGTAGTGGCGATGGTGGTAGTGCTAGTGGCAAGGATCTGTTTTGATTCTCACGATCAAGGAAATTTTTAAATTTCTTTCACTCATTCTGCATATAGTACATTCCGCATAATTATGCCATTCCGTAAGTCACGCCAAATGCCATTGCGCAAACTCATTCTGTCTTTGACCTTCACCGTTTTTTTTTAAAACCAGCGCGCTTCGCTAAAATTTTCGAGTCATCTGCATATATTACATTCCACATAATTACGCTATTCCGCAAAGCCCTGCCACACGCCATTCCTCAAATTCCTCCTTACCCACACCGCACTTGTTGTTCTAAACTTTGGTCTAAGTAAGGCTTTGTACAAATGACCGGCCTAAGGAAGTTTAACTCTCTTATCATTTTGATTCAGGCAAAGAAACAAGTCAAAGTGTCAAACTGAAGAAGAGGTTCAGAGCCCATTTTGTAAAAGACAAAAAGAAAACAGACGCAACAATCATCCTTGCCACTCCTGAAAATAGTGAAATCGTTGAAGATTCACCAAGATTACATCACGCTACCAACCGATTTATTCCCTTAGATAAAGACCCAGTGAAAGAAGTCAACAAGGACATGTACTCAGTCGCTCCCGAAAAAAATTGCACTTGCCAGTTGGAAGAAACAGAAGAAAAAGATATCCAGAAACTGAGCGCAACTTCATCTGAAGTTGAGTGTTCCTGTAGAAAGCCATCTGCGGGTCAAGAGATAAACTTAAACACGGGCTTATCCAGGCCATCGGATGATCGAGCTTATGGGGAGAGGGAGTCGGTGTTTTAAGCGAACCAATGAGAAATGCTTGCATGAAAACTTTGTAAAAACAAAGAAGCAAAGTGACCCCAAGAAAAAATTGCAAAGCAGACAATGGCTGAGTTTGTTTAAAACGACCATCTTCATCGGAAGCTTAAGTTCTTTTTTTTTTTTTTCAAAAACCGAGACATCGAAAGCAGGAAAATGTTCACGGTTGAACTCCTTTCCCATGAATTAGTTCATTAATGGGCCAAGTTTTTTTCTTGGGCATGTTATCTTTTGACGGTTTGCTCAATGGACCTTCTTCAAGCTACTCGCCAGCTTTACACGCGTCTTAGGATCGATGGGATAAAAGTAATATCACGTGGTATTTTAGGGGGCAAACAAGTAATAAAATTTGCTAATACGGGTAGTCGCGGTCGAGTTTGTTTATTCTATCAAAACGATTTAATATTCATGCAAAAAGTACAGTCTCCGGAGAAAGCCCGGAGACTGTTTATGAAATTGTCGGTTTATGATATCGTCTACGTTGCTCATGCGTCGGCGGAATTCGTAGCAGGTCTTCTCTTTTCCCCAGTGAGCTTTTGCAATTCGGCTGATCCACCGTGGATCCCCGGCTTTTGTAGACTGTGTGCATCTACCCACCTACTCGCTCTAGCAGCTGGTTTTGTATTCGGAAACAAGGGTATTGTCTCGGTTGTTTTTCTCATCTTCTGTCGTAGATTAATCAACATTACGCGGCAGCTCAGCTATTTTTTGCCAGCTAATTGTATGGCGATGGCATTTTAAAACACTATCGAATTCGCTAGCACGTGTATTCCGTTCCCAAATGAACACGTGGCAAATGTTCCTTTCAGGTAGTTCTTATAATAGTATGGTGAACGTACGATCAATATTCATTGAGAGACTGCAACACACTGTGTTGGATGCAAGTGGTTATTCACGTGCGCGTTCTTTCACAAAGGTTCGGAAGTCAGATTGCTGGTGGAGAATATGAGATTTTAAAACGAGGAGCAAAAACTTAAGACACTGCTATTACAAGTGTGCAGGATCCACCAGCGACTGGAGGAGGAGTGCGTGAAATTTAGAACAGCTCTTTGTGGTGACTTGCTCGAGAGCTAGACATTCTAAAAGTCCTTTATTTTTTTTCCGGGTTGGTTATGCCATTTTAAAGGACTTTTCATACCTCTTTGGCGCGAAATTCACCGGTCGAAAATTCTACCGGTGACGTCATGACAACAGTCTACGTTCGATGTAATAAAATTCTACCATGTCTCCGTAAACCACGAGCAGTCGAAATTTTTCCTCAGGGATAGTAAAGCGAGGGAAATGCGAGCGCGCGTGAAATTCACGCGCGTTTCGTTCGACTATCGCTGAGGAAAAATAGAGACTACTCGTAGTCTAATGTCTTCTAGGCTTTAAGGTCAGGCGAAACAGGTCGACCTCGAGACACTTCGTCGCTCGCCCGGTAGCTGCGCAGTCTCTTGCATTGAAGGTAGCTTCGCTCATTTTTAAGAGGTCGACTTGTAGCTGAGTCTACTCGAGAGCTAACTCACGTGAAAAGCCAAGACAAGATTCATAAACAATTTATTAACGGATTAAAACGTACAGCTTGGCTTTAATCAAAGTTCGGTGGGCAGTTTCTTTCTCATGTGCTCATGGTTTCCAGCCCCACGTTACGTTACGGGCGTCTCTCTCTTTTTTGCACTCACTTCACAATTTCCTAACTCTTTCCCGGCAAGCCTGAATTTTTTGGGCCTTTGTTTTCCTAACTGCGTAAGTTATGACTTTAACTCTGATGATCTCCTTTGTATTTTTTTTCTTTATTCCGCGGTTCCAATATATGCCAAAATCATATACAGTCGAACTTCTACTGTAACGGCCACTCGGACAGTCCATACATTGACTCTTGTTTAAACCTCCCTACAACGGCCACTTTCTTCTGTCCCCACGGGCCAGAAAACGACCTAGAAAACGAAGACCTAAAAAACTACGACCTAGAAAGCGACGACCTCTTTACATTCGCATTTTCTTTCACCCATTAAATTCTAAGCGACACTCTTCATATTTTCAGGTCGTGAATGGAAATATATGAAATGACTCATGTCTTGAACTGCGGATAAAGATGTGAAAGTGGAAATAGTTAAATAAACAACCCTAGCGGTCGAAAGAAAAAAAAAAACAGAACAAATTCAGGCCTGACCAACAAAAGGGCCCTTGACAAAATCTGGATCAGACAGGATCGGTTCAACCTCTGAACACTGTCCCAAACCTTTTGTCTTTAAGTGAAATACAGGGCGGGGTTGATCCTATCATCGGACGAGATCCGGGTTTTGTTCAGTGATGGTTACATTTCAGTGATGAATCAAATGATGACTTGTGTTGAAAGCATTTCGCAACTGTGATAAAATACAAGTTTTAGCCGATTAACTACGAAATGCGTAGGATTCTAACGTTTTGAGCAGGGCGCCCTGGTTTTGAGCTGAGGCTTGCCGCTTGCCCCTCACACGCGCTCTCGATCTATTATGGATTTTAATAGTGATAATGTAACTAGACAAAATTACTGGTAGAAACATGCGAAACTGTATTTTGATTTTAAAACAACAAGCATGAGTAATAAAATTGAATATTTAATAGACTGCTTGCAGTCCGCCTTTTCTCTTAAAATCCGTCTAGTTCCCAGCCCAAGCCCGTCCTTATGTCTACCTGCGTATGTCATACAATTTTTGTCTGCCCCGTTTTCGCAAATTTGATATACATGTCTTCATAGCCATGTCATTCATTCAAAGATTTTTCAATCTGGCGAATACTGAGAAGTTATCGTGAAAAATTCACTGCAGGAATGTAGATTTCTATTTGATACTACCTTCAGTAGCAGCGACATACTGAGCCGAGCTAGCGTGACTTAAGCTCGTACAGAGAAGTGCTGGGTGACAACAGGCGGATACAGTTTCATACTTCTTTTCAATTAAACTACAATAAACTTTGCCCTCGGTTCAACTACGTTTTCGATTTCTAGCTCGTCGTTTTCTAGATCGTCGTTTTTTAGGTGGTCGCTTTCTAGGTCGTAGGTCTTCGTTTTCAAGACACCCCCCCCCCCCCCCCCCCACCAAAGGTGGCCGTTGTAGAGAGGTTCAACTGTATTCATCTTTCCCGGTTCTCTCTTACTTATGAGTCCCCTTTTTACAAACTTGTTTATGGCTAATAGGTTCTATAATACATGCAAGCGCATTAGAACGAATAACGTGAAGAAAAATACTTCTTTCACTTCTCAGTAAAAGATCTCGTTAAGTTTAGTAAAAACAGTAACGATACGGGACCTACATAGGTCTCGTAAATTTACGTGCTATTTTTCCCGTAAAAAAAGTTTATGCAACAACCGCAATTTCTGTTGCATAAACGACACTTAAGTGAACACTTACGAAAATCGTAAGTGCAACCACTTAAGTGATTTAATGCAACTCACTTGAGTTACGAGTGCTGTACAGTACCGGAAATGATCCCCAACCGCAAATGATCCCGAGACCGCAAATGATCCCCAAAATGGACCGCAAATGATCCTCGACCGCGAGTGATCCCTAAAGTCGACCGCAAATGATCCCGTGAAAACTTGAGGAATGGAATGGATTTTATGGGACTGATTACAAAAAAGGACTGATAATAAAAAAGAAACCTTTTTCTCTCGCCTTTTAAAGAATTTAAAGAAAAAGGGAAGGAGGACGCTACATCTCAGGTCAATTTATACAAGGCGAAAAAAAAGTGGAATAAATCTGAAAAGGTGTGGTATTAACCGTATACTTCTTCCTTTGTCGATTGCTTCAATTTTCTTTCAAGAATGTTTCGTCTTTTGAAAAATTTAAGACACGCAGGACGTTACGTAGAAAAAACTCTATTATTTTAACGCCTAGAAGCTCAACTTTTCTATTGAGGAATACAAAGCCGGGCACCCTCTACATAACAAGAGCTTTACTGACTTTACTGATCTTTTTGAAAGCGTGAAATTAATCAGCCAGAATATTTCATTTTGATTTTTCTCTGAAGTGTTAATTTTACGTGATAAACAGCAAGACATTTGTTCGTAAATTAAGTGCCCGATAGGAAACAAGACATGATTTAACATAAACAAAAGTGAAAATGTCCCCGAACTTATCAATGTCCACAGGTTTCGGTTTATTTCGAAATAGCAACTTTCTTACATCTCATGAACGTGTTGTGAATAGTTATATTAGCGTTTTTATGTATATTCATTTGTTGTGCTTTGCTGAAGACAGTTACCAGGAATCTAAACCTGGTAATGAGAAACGCCAGGTAAGCGGTAGTTATTGCGTGACAAAACATCGTAGGAAACCGTCACATTCACGGACTAAAAGAAAATCGCTTATGATCATTCGGATCCAGGAGGCACTTTGGAGAAAATTAAACAACTTAAAACCCTTATTTAGCGGCAATGAAGGGCACTGCATTTCAAAAGAGGTCAAAGGAAATGCTCTTGCATCAAAGGGCAAATCATGCCGACCAGAAACAACAATAACCGCAGAAAATGCGTGTCATGATCTCTCAGTATGAAATAAGCGGCAAAAATCACATTTGCTCAGTCAAAACGTTTTCTTCAGAGGTATAATCCACCCGCCACACCCGGAAAAAAGTCATTGGAATAAGCAGCATTTTAGCATGAGGTAAAAGTCGTGTGTTGCCTACCGACTTCGTTTTTACTCTTGAATGATTTTTTTTTCATTTAGTTTTTATTCATATATTTATTTGAGAAGTAAAATTTAGCTTTTAATCTGACTCATTGTAATAATAATAAAGTCGACACGATGATCCGCTAACTTGAGTCCACGTCATTCCTATTTTTCTTTCGGGATCATTTGCGGTCGACTTTGGGGATCACTTGCGGTCGAGGATCATTTGCGGTCCATTTTGGGGATCATTTGCGGTCTCGGGATCATTTGCGGTTGGGGATCATTTGCGGTACTGTACAGTGCACGTACGTTTACCCGTAGTTGTTACGGGCGTTTTATGCAACCGGG